ACGAAGCGACGCAAGAAGATGAGTTCCCAGAACTGGAACCCTAGCCTAAGAAACACAAGAAATCGAAGGGCCAGAAACCAACCACTAGTAGCCGACGGTATGGACGTCGATGATGAGCCGGAGGAAACCGCTGCAGTAGCCCCAACTGAACCAAGGAAGGAATTACCTGGACCACCGCGTCAAAACTACCCATTATCGCAACATCCAATGTGAATCCAAAGGAACTTACAGGTATGTTGCGACAAATGATAAAAATAAAAATGCCAGAAAAAAGATGCATCAAATGCACTGCAGACCACGCCCTTGGGCAATGCAGTATCAAAATGACTGAAAACCCATCAGAAAACAATAAAATTCAGTGTGTCAACTGCAAAGGTCAACACATAGCAAATGCTAAGATTTGCCCGTTCAGAGTAGCAATCACTGCCAAAATTGAAAATAAGCGAAGTGGCACTGCATAAAGAAACTCAAAAAAAAAATTACCAAAGCCACTACAGTAGCTACTATAAGCAAGTTCAAAAATAATATCCCATTCGCCTCACTCTTCAAGAATACAGATGAGATAAGGTCTGACTCCGGCCAGCCACAACTCCTCAAAAACTTTGTTGTCACCAATCCGGCACTAAAGAAGCATCTTGCTAACAAACTAGCCACAAGCCAAAGCCCCAAATATCTCACTTGAAACAACTAACAGCGATAGTGTGCAAGCATTTGGTAAAGATATAGAAACTTACCAAAAAATACCCCACTAGCCAAGCCCTAGATGAGTCGGAAGCTTGCAAAATAAAACAGGCCCTACTTTTAGACTTTCTTATCCAAATCACACAATTAAAATGACCTTACTTAAAAGTATCTTTCAAAACGTCAATTCAATCATCTTACTACAGAAGAGGCATGAGTTAATGTTCATAGCAGAACACCGTCTAGGCAACAGAAATTCCGCAAAGCTATCCCAATACTAATTTATAAGGCAAAATGTGAAAACTACCCACACAAGACATGCGCGACGCCACCCAGAAAATGGTGGTACGGCATAAACTTCGAACGCGTAGATATTCCGCCACTACGTTTCATCGAAGCCGTGGCAATTAAACTTTCCTATCAAGACTCGCTCAGAAACACCCAAAGCTTTATAGAAGTCTTATTATACAAACGTCCTAATTAAACGCTTCTTACTAATGACATGAATGCGCTATTTAACTCTCTAAGCCACATTGGAAAATAATCATAGGTTGCGACCTAAACGCCAAACACCCCAGCTGGCATGTGCCCCACTATAGCCCAGCCCACATAAAAAGCGCCGGTAAAACACTTCAAGACTGGCTTCTAGGACAACCTAACTTAGCTCTTTGCCCCCCAAAGACCCAAGTCGGCCCAATAACCCTAACAACCCATCTTCAATAGATTTCTTCATATGCTCTATAGACCTTCAGATAAAATATAGTTCCCTCTGCAACACAATAGATTAATTCCCATCAGATCATCTCGGGGTAACCCAAGAAATACAACTAGGCCAATATAAGCACCGATCCAAAAATATTCCATAAATTCGACAGTATCAACACAGATATAATGAACTCTGTCCTTTTAAGAAATCTCAGACCAATTGTAAGATCTTCCAACCTAAGTCCTTAAGAAATAGGCACACACATCGAGGAACTTAATACCGCCCTAAATACTGCACTGGACTCGCCAGATGCCATTCCCAAAAGAACCATACACCCATCCAAACCCTATAATAAAGTTATGGCGAGCACACAATGCCTTGCTCTTATCAAGCAGAAGCGCATCGGTAGAAGATACCTCGTTGGGCGCAACACTCACTGTCATTCAACGAAAAGTCACAGATAAAATCCCTAATCTTCGACCTCACAATCCAAATCAATAGTCATATCCACACCAGTAACCTAAGACATATAGAAACCCGCTTGAAATACATAAGGCCGAGTAAGATTAGCTTAAAATCCCTAAAACATAGTAATACAAACCACCAAATAGACGAGCCGCTTAAACGCGACATCCACCTAACAGCCACTGAGCATAATGAAATCGACATTAACGTCCCCACCGTTATCAAGTCGAAATTTGAAAAAGTCAATGCCCTAGTCTGGTCCTTCGAGCAAATTCATAAGCAAAATGACAACGTGTCCAATAGTAGCCCCGAGCTTAGGCAACACACTAACCGCATAAACAGGCGAGTAGGCTCTATAGCACAAAACCACTTGCAAATACCAACCAAATATAAACTTTGATCCCAGCCGAAGAGCAGACGGCAATTGGGAAAACTCAGAAGAGCTTGGCTTCACAAACGCCAAGCAACATCTTGAGTGGGTCAAATTGAAAAATAGCACAAAAATCCATGGACCCAGATGGCAGTAGTAATTACCTCCTAAAAATTGTAATATGTTGGTCCTCATACACCTAGCAGTTATTTTCAATCATTGCTTCAACTCAGGCTACCTCCAAAATGCCTGGAAGTGCAGCAGAATAACTCCAATACTAAAACCTAAAGCAAACCCACAAAGCTTACAAGGGTACAGGACAATCTAAATCCTTTCTGCTACTAACCTCTTATCCCTGATACTACTAATTAAACTAGCTTTAAGACAAAAACCAACTAAATCAAAATTAACATAATAAAATCTAGGTTTTACTCAACATGAGCCTTTACTAGGAATAATAGACTTAACACCTGGATAAGCTAGAAGCACAAGGCAACATGAGATTAACTTGACATTGTCAATCAAGGCTGTACTATTGAATAAGGTATCAAAATGTATGAAACCATGAAACCTACTGTGACCAATAAGGAAATAGAAATTGAGCTAAGTTTTTAGTTGCACAAGAGACCTGTCTTGACCTCAAAATTATGAATTACTGCAAAATAAAATTTGAGATTTTGAAAGCCTATTTTACGCAAAATTACAAATAGCGTTCCATCTGCCTCACTCTTCAAAAATCGGCTGAGATGAGGCCTGATTCTCGTCAGCCACAACACATCTTCCTAGCAATCTGAAACAACATCGTGCAGAAACTTTCCAAAATATACCCCACTAGCTAAGCCCAAGATGAGCCAGAAGCCCGAAAAATAGAACGAGCCCTGCTGTTAGACCACATCACCTTGTTATTCCTTTTTGTTTGTTTGATCTTAGCTTCTGCACCCTTCTAACTCATTGTGGTTTCTAAGCACTGCTATGCCTATAATTCGCAGTCATGCCTTCTTGTTATCCACTTTCCGCTTTCAAATCGCAAACAGCTCCGCAGATTTTTATAATTTTTCATTTTTCGACCAGCAAGGCCCTCTTTTAAAATAGGGTATTTTAACTATTCATAAGCGATGTAACCAAATAGCACAATCCTTCTTATATATACATTTTTATCCAATGTCTATGAATAATATAATTTCGTATATAGTGTGCAACTTTTATTACAATCAATAATAATTGTTTTCTTTGAAAATGATATACCATTCTTATAAAAAAGGGTATCAATGCCTCGACACGCCAAATAGTTGCGCACGAAACCCTATTTTTTCGTCGTTGCTCGTTTTGATCGTTTACCGTTTCTCTTTCGTTCCTACAATGCAGAAACAACAACAACACAATTTGGGTACTAAATAGTTGTTGCAGAACAGAGTCCCGGCGCAAGTAGGGGATACCCTGCAAAAATTATACCCATATTACCCCTCTTCAATGGGTTAAGTGTATAAAACAGAACTCAAATCGGAACGATGGGCACGCCGGTGGTTATTCCGGGAACTTTTTGGTCAAGTGGATTTGGCAGTGAATCCTATGATAAGCTTTGCCAGCCCTGGACAACTTGCGGTACTGAGGGCCTTCATCCATATCTGGATACCCCTGATGACTCCCCATGCAACAACATATAAGCATTCACCAATAAATCACGGACTACAACTATACCTAGTTACTTAATCACATCTAATGATTGTTTCTATTTGAGTCTATTTTTTCCTTGATCGCTAAATATGGTTATCATTATACTTACCATTCTAGTTATCACTATAATTATCACTGTATTTGTATACCCATTTCTATTCACTGCGGTGCACAAATATAAACGCACCCACCTTTTTCAGTAAACTATTCTTAAGAATCGGGCGACTGAAAAAGTACAAATGAGAAATGAAAGAGCATGTTACATCAAAACATCAAAAGAGCAAAACATAGTTGCTTCTAAATTACTTTTTCGATCAGTAGTTGCAGCAGTATGCTGCCCATAATTGTTTTCTTTTTACTGTTAGTCTTATGGTGCTCGCTACAGTTATCTCTATGCTGCTGTCTGTGTTATAATACCCTCTCATTTAAAATGGGTAAAGAGAGTACAATGGCTTTGTGCAAGTGTATGTAACAGGCAGAACGAAGTATGTATGTTCGACCCAATAATGGACATGTAGCCATATTCGTCAGTACGAACGTGTTGATCTCGAAAACTACTTGAGCTAAAAACTTAAAATATATATTCTCCCATGCCTACAAGCTTATCAATTTTGTCTTTATGTATCGACCCTCTGCATAGGTCCGTATTTATGTTGTAACCAGTAAATATGTCGAAAGCAGCCGGATCGTACCATGATATTATATAGCTGTCATAGGAACGATCGGTCGAAAACTAGATTCTAGTATGGAAAACTATTTTGCTTAAGAGATATTTTGACGAAACTGGGCTTTAATTAGATTCACCAGGATCCAAATATTTACAAAGGTTAAACATATTTATATTTTGTAATTTTAATATTTAATATAGTTTTATAGGGTACAACCAGCATTGTATGGTTAGTGGCAAAATTTGCGACATCCCGTAACATCGATATTTATAAATATCGAAACGTTGATGACAGTTCAAAACGATTAAAAATTCATCGTTAAGTATAATCGTTGTTGCACGACATTAGCCAATCGTGCACTGGGTTATCGCAACCTCTAATTACTTGTAATTTAATAAAACACACAATAAAGTTAAGCTGTGCCACTGAGAAGAACTATGTAAAATATACACCAATCCCTCATTTGGATATTCCTCATATGGGGTGCGTATATAGAAGAAATACCGAATAAACGAATACAAAAATATATCGACTGACCTCAATCGCTCTAGGTTATCTTGAAAAAATCGATGTTTAGGGCATTGCTTACATCCCTATTCAAAATGTTTGGCAAGTCATTTATGAAAGTGTTTGGAGATTTTTTTAAAAATGGAATTGAGTATCTGGAAATATGTACTCTTGCAGTGGGTAAGTTTCTTATAGATCTCAGTACGGCTAAATATATTACTTATTTTATTTCTATGATTTCTAGGTCCAAAAGTGCAATTTTATAGAAAACATTACATGTATAGAAGATTCCGATATCGAAGCCTTTTTTACCTTTTACGCGCAGCATGCTCAGGTTAAGCTACCGGCGTCGTCTTCAAGCAGAACATTTCCTATGGGACAACTAAAAACATTTCTTGGAGGTACATAAACATTAAAAAAAGAAATCATTTTGTTTTTTATGGATTGTTAATTGCAGATATTTATCCAAACTTTAAGCCGCGTTTGGAGCTTGATGGCCGCGTAGTAACGGCAGATTTCATTTATGTATACACACTTCTAATGCACTACACGTGCGTTCAAAGACCTAGCGAATATTTTCATAATATTTGCAAAAATTTACCAGATAACATTCAGCAGTGCATAGCGGCCTTTTTCCAACAGACTATACAAAATCCAGAAATGACTCGTATTCGCTTGCACGAGACTATTATCAATATCCGATATATAACTGAAAACAATTTTTCGGTCAACTCCAGTTCCTGCAGCCCTCTCAGCCACATGTCCGTCCACAATATCAGCGATGGAAATAGCTATCTGTTAAATAGTAACAAGGATTCGCCATCATTCGATAATGATGTGAGTGCGAGTACGAGTACGAGTCCTGTAACGTCAGGGCCAATGAAGCGGGAGCTAATTAGCTTATTAGATCGCAGCCAATGGGTAACTCCACCGACTCCAAAAACGGAGCTTCTAGAACAGCGTACTCGGGAGCTGTTGGGACTACGTGTAAGAAGCGATAGCGTAACGATGTACTTAATCCATAGTATAACCTTTATTCTTGCAGGCACAGCTAGAGACTGAGCGGTATGAGAAGACCGTTCTAGAAGAACAAATTTTAGAAAATCAAATCGAAATTAATTCGCTTAGTAAAGGTATAAAAATAGAACATATTATTAAATTTTAGCTATTTAAATCAAAATTATTTATTTACAAAGAGAACTTGGCGCATAAGAAGCAATTGGCCAAATTCTCGGCTACCCTTCAAAGCGAGCACGACAACGAGGACAATTACCTGCATAGCAATGAACTAGACAGTGTATGTTAAATCTTTACTTGGCGCAAGTAGACGCTCCAGTAGCCGCTACCTATTTAAACCATATGTTAACATTTGGTCACTTATACCTGAATTACAGTTAAAAAGGCAATTGCTTAAAGATCTTAGTATCAAGGATGCTATCCTTGCTGAAAACAACGAAGAGATTTATGAGCTTAAAAGCAAACTTGTCAAAGTTTCTAGCAAGGTATGTACAAAAAACGCCTTTCTTGTTTTAAAGCATGGTTAAAACGCAGTCAATCCAATTTTTTATAATATCATATAACTTAGTAGACCTAATCTATGAATATTTGTTAACGTTATGTGTCATCATCGAACAAATTATTTGTACATGTCTTTACTTTAAAAATGATAGAAAAAACGTAAAGAACAGATTGGATTAAAATAAACTTTCAAAGCAAGAAAAGAGTGCCTAAGTTGAGTGATTGGAAAATGCCCTGTAGCCAGCGCCGAGTTGACGCAAAAGTAGCTTCACCTTCTATACACGTAAAGATGTAAGCTACGTGACTCGCTCTTCTTCCCTTAGCCCCTTATTAAGATCAATTTTATACCCTTTTTGAAAGTGTAATGTATAGAAAGAGACATCTTCGACGCTATAAATTATATAAGATCTAGGTCATGCCATCAATAGTATATTATTTTGAAGGCTGTCGTTATAAAAAACTTGCATACGTCTGTATTTCTGTTGAAGACAGTACATATGTTGAATCTACCGGAACGAAACACTGTCATGTAGCTGTATGATTAATAAAAAGTAAGCTTATGGATAAATATTTTTCGGATTTCGAAACATTTTAATCTATTATCTAGATATCTTTCCTAATCAGTTAAACTTTGCTCATTATATATGAGGTAAGTTTAAACAAGATCGGTCCACCATATCATATAGTCATTTATTAATTTCAACATTTGACTATTTAACTCTTTCATAGAGCTTAGTAGGAAGAATCTGTAAAATAAACAAATTTTTGTATGGAGACTTTTTCACTTTTCCGTATTCTTCTTTTTAGCTGCCATTGGAACGGCCGAAAAATGGGTGATTCTATTGAAAAGTTTTATGTTTTTTACGATATTTTGATGAAACTCGACTTTCATAAGTTTTACTATTTTCATTAAAAGCATCGGACCGCTGTGGCAGCTATATGATATAGTGTCAGTATATGCGAAAGCGTATTAACATTGGACTAATATATCATATAGCTGCCATTGGTGCGATCTGTCGAAATGTAGTTTCTTCTGTGGAATTTTCTGTAATCCAAGATATTTTCAGTAAACTCGTCGTTTCTGCGCTTTACATACCTGTAAAAACGTAATACAAATGCATACAAATTATTAAATATTTGGTGGGCCCAAGATATGTTTACTTTCTATTTCAACACGATGTTTCGTTTCTCATATGGTATATACCGATTTTTTTTTGGTACCTTCTTCATTCTACCAAAATTGATAGAAAAAAAGTCAGAGCCTTCCGCTTTGGTATTTTCATGGATGCTATATTAATGCCTTGAAAATTTCATCAAGATCGGACCATATAGACTTAAAGGATCGCTAATCAAGAATACATTTTCGATAGTGTGGAGCAAAAAGAAAGCGACGAGCAGGCGTGTGGACAGGTGGACAGGAGCTAATAATGTTCAGCTCGGCGCTCAGGGTATTTCCTAGTCGGGTACTTCGTGTAGATTACTCTAATTTTATTTTAAATTACTTTCAAAAAGCGTGCTTACATTTTAATTCAAAACTATCACTTTCCGACGGAACTTTGTCCTTGTGAGTTTTGGTTGGACTGGCAAAAAAAGCTTCTCCGCTCCACCATCCCGCGCTTAAACATCTCTTTATATAAAACTGTTTGTCCTGACTGACTAAAGGATTGGTGATCAATGTACCAATCTTTTCTATGGCAGCTATATGATAAGTGCCCGATGTTGATAAGATAAGAACATATAAGCTCGCAGACGTCTCCTTCTATGCATTACACGTTTTAAGACACCTTGGTGTATACATAAATACACGCAATAAAATGATACTGAAGATATTAAATAACTTACAATAGTCTAAGGGTGAGAAAAGAAAAAGAACTGCACTTACTAATTATATACTTGTGTATGTTTGCTCATTTTAGGAAGTTAGAAGGCATGTTACGTAAACAAGGTGTCTTGTAATCGGGCTCGAAAGCAATCTAATTTTGATTTTTTTTTTTAAATTGCGGAAAATGTCCTTCACTTATGACTCGTTTTACCCGCAGCTTAAAGTTTCGGAGAAGCATGTGCTTGTGTGTATGGACCGAATAAACGACCTGGAGCAGCGCTTGGAGAACGCGACGCAGGTGTTGACTGAGAAGGATGATGATATTGCTTGTCTGCAGCGTGACAGATTGGAGCTGGAGCAGTGTCTGCAAGAAACTCGGGCCGAGTTGCATAATGGTCGCGAGGTACTAAACGCCTCCTCTGATTTGTTGGAAACGTCGCACTCAACCTGTAGCTTGAATACCACACCTGAAAACTTGGGCTGCTCCGTTGTAGATAAGCAATTACGTGAGAAGGCACAGGAGAATGACGAACTGCGTAAGCAACTGGCAGTTATCGTAGAGGAAAAATCAAATATGCTGAGGAAACTATTAAGAATTGTGCAACCCCATTCCCTAGAGATGTCGTCGGCAACTGAAGATTCCCAACTCATGTGCTTAATTGGGCACAGTATGGACCAGTTGTCCGTCCGCTATGAGCAAGAGCTGCAACGTGTGAAGGAACTGCAGGTTCAGTACAACACACTGAAGCAGCAAAATATGCAGTGTGAAGAGTGTATTCAAGAACAAATAAGGAACAAAAAAAGGCTAGATCGGATTTTAGGACAGAGTCAGTTAACTCTGCTGGCCACTATTGAAAAGCTGCAACAACGCGACAATGAATATGGTCAAAGTGTCAATATTAGCCAGGAACTTGAAAAAAAGGATGAGCAACTTGCTCGGGTTGGCTCTGAATTAATTCAACTATGCAGTCAAAAACGTATCCTAGAAGGGCACATCAGCGAGGAAAAAGAATGCTCATTTAGTCAGCGCCAGAAGTTAAAGGCACAGCAAATGATCATTCAGTCTCAACAAGATCAATTGGCTGAGCAGCGTCAGCGGCTAAACGACGCCCAACAGCAAGTACAGTGCTTAATCCACAGGATAAGCGCTAAATGTGACCACGACACAACTTCATCACCTACCAGCGAAAATCGACTGAAACAAGTGGAAAATATGCTGATATGTTTAATGGACAGAATGCGCAACCAGGATAAGAGAAATAAGTGTGAAAATCAACTGTCTGAACACAGCCCCTCCCAGGTGAGTAGTCAGCTCACGATTATGTCGACTGAAAAGCTTTATGATGAAGAGCATAATGCTGCAAAAACAAATCAATCTCTTAAACTTGAAACTGAAGAAACAACGATACAGAATGGGGGTCAAACGCAGCTGAGCCAACAACTGGAAGTCGGGCGGCAAGAGCTTTGCAAGCAGAAACAAGAGGCGCACGTTAAACAACAACTTAAGGCTGTGAATGAGAACCAAAAAAGGTTGGAACACAGGTTAAAGGAACAAACGGAGCTGCTTCAAAAAAGAGAGTCCACCAGCCAAGCGCTCCAAGAGCAGATTATGATACAAACACAGCAGTTAGAAAAAGGACAACGGGAACTTAATGATTCGCAGCGAAAACTAAAAGAGGCACAGCAGCAGTTACATAAGCAAGAATCACTAATATTACATGTTAACAAACTGGAGAATTGGATAAAAGAAGAACGGCGGAAAAATTTGAGCCTGGAACAGGAGCAAATACAGCAGATGGAGCACAAGCGAATTATCGAGAAGGAATTTAAAGCAATTCAATGCACGCTTGCAAAAAGGGAGGAAGAACTGGAGAAGAGCAAGTCACAGTTGGACTTAAGTACCAAGCGCTTGGAGAAAATAGCCATAAAACAAGGCGAACAGCAAGCAATTTTATCCAAAACGCAACGCGAAAAAGCTCAGTCCAAACGAACGCAGAACGAGCAAGCAGAGCTCATCACGGTATTGCAACGTGAGAAGGAAAGTCTGCTGTTGGAATTGCGAAAGAACAAGGAGCGTACAAGCCGATCGGAGGAGAAACAGGCCAGTTTGGAACAGCAACGGGTTTTGGCGGAGACGGCACGAGTTGCTACTTATGAACGAATGATAAAACTCGAGAGAGAGTGTAAGAAAACTAACATCAATACGATACGCGATCTACAGCTTCAGCTGAAAGACGTTGAGAAGGAAAAAGATAGGCTGTTTCTTGAAGTTGGAGGCCTCAACTTGGAGATTGTGCAGCAGCAGAGGCGCACAGCAGATTTGAGTGCCCAACTACAACAAGCCAACGAGCATATAGACGCAATGCGTACCTCAATGCAGGTCAAAGAAAACAATGCTTGCAATGCTCAACAATTGGAGCTGATAGAACGTGCATATATGCAGCAGCTAGCGGACGCGCGGCAGGAGCTCAAGGATCAGCGTCTTGACATGGAGGGTAAATTAGAAAAGATGAAAACAAAAATGGTAAGTGAACGTTGGGTGCATTGCTTAATCTAGGTATTTGCTTTCTGTTGCCTAACAACACTTTTGCTATTTACAATTGCTTCCATCTTGGCAGCCTTAAGGTGGCCAAAAAAGTATTAAAACGTAAATGTTTCTAGTACCCGACTAGGAGATAGCCTGAACTCAGCGCTGATCGGCCGTAGTAAACATAAAAGCTTTTTTTTCCTACCTGAATATCTTACCTTTGCTCTAGACATTCGTGATATGCTTCGGCGTGTATAGTCCGATCCTAATGAAAATTTCTGGGCATAAATATGGCATCCAGTTGTGTATAAATAGATAGGAGCTACCCATGTCGAAAGTTTTCACGGGTTTGGTTTGGCCAAGATAGGAGAGACGCAGCACCTTGTTGTGGCCGCTGATGTTCAGTAGCGGGGATGAGGTAATCCCTGGAAATCAAGTCAGGATAATGTTGCGTTGTTTCTGGATGCAGAGGTCTGTTTGCCCCTTATGGCAAAGAAGAGCAGCGGAAGCAGGATTTCTTTTCTTTTTTTTTGGTTGTTTCAGAGTTTGAGGAGTAGTGTAATTTGTTGCCTGGTCTATGTTATTCATTAAAACGGAAACTGCGTCCCCCTATGTCCATGTTAATGTTTATTCCTCTGTCCACCCTAGCTATAATTGCTTAAGCAACAGAGCCAGATGCGAGGATATGAAGCTCGTTCGTGTAGCGATTTAAATAATTTAGTCGACTGTTCTACAGGAACCTGTGGCCAGGTCTTGGATTGAGCTTCCTGTTATCAATCCCCTCGGCAACAAGCCGACAAATCCTCCGACCAAAGCCAAGCGGTCTGTCTCGTAAACCTCTGAGCCGTCGCTCAGTATGAAGAACAAATACAGCAAACGATTCGCAAATAAGGACATGCTCGCTACAAAGTCACACATTCGGAAACTAAACTTGTATCTTCAGCAGCCCTTGTAGACACAGTGGTTTGACCATAGCTTGCTGAATTGCAGACAGACGCTGGTATACCCAAATATAAATTAAAAGTCCCTAGCCTTTATTGTTTTAATATCGAGACCTATTGGCTCAGCACTTCGTCCTGATGAAGTTTATATATGCTTATAGGTTCCTTCTACCTGTCGGACCCATTTGCACACATAATTACCCCTTTTCTCATTTTTAATATGTATTTCTGTATGCATGTATAGAAGGAAGATACAATAATTTTAGGGACTGCATGGCGTTGGGTTCAAGGTATCTTGCAGTCGGGCACCCCCGACTGGATCACTCTTACTCGTTTTGCTTCATCTGATGTGATACAGTTGTTACAGACGGTGTCGACAGGAGCCGCTTATTAGATTTCTGTTTGTTACACTTGCTGCACTTTGCTCATTGCTAACCTGAAGCTAGTCTTTGTACTATAATTAAAACAATATCATTTTATTTAGTATGTCATGCTTATTTTGGTATTTTTTAAAATATTGAGTTCATGAGCTGTCTTCTGTCTCTCGTCTTTTTATACCGTAAACCCATTAAAAATAGGCAAAAGGGGTATAATGTATTTCTGATTAGCTCTGTGCACTCGTGTTGTTAGTGCTGCTTTAAGAGATCGTATACGAATAACCAAATAAGTAGATTAATTTGATTTAAAGCAATGGTATTTAAAGAAAATTTTCTCCGTTTCCTCTTCTCTTCCTACACCACCAACTATATCACTTACTATCACAACTTCGCATACATCTTAATAAAAAAAAACACGAATTACTAAAACTGAAAGTCCGAAACTCTTGTATCATTAGATTTGCATAAGCTGGGCAAATCTGAGAAACACACACAAACATATGCCAACGAAAAGTTAACATCTCCAGAAGGAACGAAGCATTTGCGTAGTGGTGGGCGCTGCACTCTTACCGTTTTAAAATTTATAATTATGTTGGTACTGCTTCTGGGGGCAATCTATAAGATACTGTTAAGCAACAACGTTGTTATTAATTTAGAATCTCGAAAACCAACTGAGTTTTAGGTGCAAAAGCGCTACTGTCAATTTGTTTTAACTGTTATTAGAGTATTTTCGTACTTTTTAAGGCTTAATAAATATTTTGTGAGTTACTTGTCTAGTTTATAATACAAGTGTAAATAAACGATGCCTAATAAATCCATTTCCTATATGTCGGTAACGTGACCTAGATTAGTGCTTTTTAATCTGAGTTTCAGGCTATTGCAGTTTTATCCAGATTAAATCTAATTATGTTCACGGATGGTCAAGCTGAAATTCAGGGTCTTCTATGGGTCTTTACTCAGGAAGCTTGTGGAAATGTCTTTAGAAGCTCTTTGCTTGGTCCCTAGTCGCTCCGGTATCTTTGGCAACGAAGCAGTGGACGAGCTCGCGGGTCGTGCCAGATTCCCCATAATTGGGCCAGAGTCGTTCTCTGGAATCCCAGGGTCCTCCATATAGTCCATGATAGCATCTTATTTATATAAGAAATTTTTCACACTCTGATCCCTCACTGTGGATCTTAAAATGTTCGTCCATATGAGTTAGCCCCACAAAGTAAAATATTATATCCAGAAAGTCGCCTCTGCATGTGAACGTGGATGAGTTTGTCTACCCAATTTAGATAGGAGCTTCCTCACCAAGAGAGCACTGCGCTCGCCTGTGTCGTTCCACTCCCACCACCGTTTCTTGTGAGATTCCATAATCAATATCATTAATATTATTGTCGTACCAAGAAGGCCACAACAGCAAACTGGATTATTAACAATGTCATTAACGATTTCATATATTTTTCGATTTCTACTTGTTTTTTTTTTGCTTAACACTCAATTCTTACCGCTCACTGCTCACCACTAACCCCCACTATGCTATTATATCCCAAAACACACAACCTTACACATATAGCGCACATTGTGCACGGCGGAAATGAACCGAATTAAAGAGAAGCATGAGCGCGATGTGGCTACCAACAAGGTTGAACTGGAAAAGCTCACTGTTCAGGTAGGTTGAAACACAACTTAATCAATTGAATATATAAACGTATGTGTCTCCAATAGAAACCATCCAAATTTATAATGATTTGAAAGTGTGGAATATTTGTTCGAATTTCATACTAAAAAATGGTATGTCCTTTACAGAACGCTAAGTATGAAGAACATACGCGAAACCTATCTCTTGAGATTATGCGCCTCAATGAAAAGATCTTAGAGCAGCAAAAGCAAATTGACATTCTCAGAACCAAGCAGCGGCATTTTCAGGATGACGTCGGGAAAACGACAGCGTTCGCAGCTGTCGATGACAGTCAGCCCTTTAAGCGGTCACTTGCTAATTTTGGCAGCAATCTTCCAATGGAAGATGAGGAGGGCGAGGTATTCAATAACACCAACCTTACAGATCTGAAATTGGGCAGTGTGCCGAACATGACGTACGTTAATTGCTTATTTATACAAAATTATTGCCCGCTAATATTTTATGTTTGCTCCCAATTGCTCACAAAGCGCTGAAGAACTGCAATATCGCAATTCGTTGCAACCACCGCATTTGAAGAGCGCCTATGCGGTGCAATATGACTTGGGAATCCAAGATGATCTCAGTAAGTATTTATAGCCATGACTGCCAAGAACAAGCTGCGAATATGTAAAGTGTGTTGCAGTTTATGTCCTGAACCTATTGCAAATGGGTAACAGGAATATAATCGGTTTGTTCAAATGTATGTAGCAGGCAAAATAAGGCATATCTGACGTATTGATCCGAATCAGACATCAGATTAGTTCATGTCCGATCTTAAAAACTGTATATGATATAGTCGTTACCATTTCGCGTTTTGATGAGTTCGATTGGAACTGATATCAATGTCCTATTTTTTGAGCACATCTCGACGCTTATGAGACGCCAAATTTAGTATGTATCCATAATATTCTACTTATAACATACTTTCATACTTCTCACTCTTGTTCTGTGTTGTGGCTGTCACTTTTCCTGTATAGTTTTATTTCCAATTACTATAATATCTGTAACCTCCCACAGAGCGGTCCACATAGCCTAGACAGAACGAGTGCATTATTAGGTACTAGGGAACGCAATGGTGTCGGTACGGAAATTTTACACGAGACTTGTGACAACATTGGTACTGCAAATGGAACCCACATGGACCAAATGAATCTTTGCATCACACTCCGCATAGAAACCAGTGGCATAGTTAGTCTAGTTTGGGTACACCGTCTACCACGCGGCGAGGTAAGCAGCTGTTCTGGGTCGTCTCTTTTTGTGGCTCGGCTTATAAATTGTATTATTTTTTTTATTTTTACATATATACCCTCTTTATATTGTATATGTAATAAAAACAATATGTTTCAACTTGCAAAGCAGGGCAGAACGTGCCGACATTTGGACGCCATAAGGAATCATAGTGCAATATGCGAAAAGCTTAACAGAATTCGAATTCGCATTTCACCTTTATCTTGTATACCAAACACACAAACAACATAAACAATGGAAAATGTCTTCAAGTGCGAGCAACGGCATCCCCATCTAAGGCCCCTTCTTCGGTGTTATATTCGCTGCGTCCATTATCTTCTCAGCGCCGTTTCAGGGAGCGTCAAATCTGGTAACAATATTGCAGCCAGGTCAGTGATGCGCCTTGAACTCATCATGAAATCCATTATTCCAGCGGCCATGCAGTTTATTTGTCGACATGATCCTTTCAGCTTCAATGAGCTGTTGCGTCTCTTTGGCTTGGTTGTGGCCATTTACCTGTAAACGAAATAAATTGATCAATTTAATACAAATTACACAATAAGGTGCCACAGAGGGAAGCAATAACAACAACAACTACTGCAAGTAAAACGTGTATCCAAATTAAAAACTATCCAACAAAAACAAATCTAAAAATGTGTTTTGGTGGCAGCTCTGATGGAGGTTTTTAAATAACAGAAAAGTAAAAACAAAAACAACAACTGCAATTGACGAATCTGTCGCTAGTGTTTCCATATTCTGGTGTATTAGTGTGTATAACATCAAAAGGTACGACCACTTATAATTGTCTAGTCTACTGTTTGGTTTAGTTTATAGTTTCCGTTTAAATCAATTTTGCACGCTAATTGAACCTATACATTTCGAGAGACATAAAATAATTGTTCCACCTGAAATATTTACAAAGCTCTATTGTCTTAAAATGTTATAGGTCTTAATTTAAAACTTTCAAGCATTTATGTCGAATCTCTTGCTTTAAATTTCGATATTTTACTTTTACTGAGACTTGGTTAAAAATACAATATTTTCTTCATAACGGAGCAAGTAGCAAGTAGCAAGTAACAGTTGAGAGGGTGTACTTGCTTTTCCTCGGAGTACTGCGCGGGTAGGAAGTGCAAAATTCAGTCTCTAGCTATCAAAGGTCCTGATGTCAACGAGTATATACATACGGACTGGCGGACAAACGGTCGGACATGTCTAGATCGACTCGGCTTTTGATGCTAACCAAGAAATCATATACTTTGTGAGGTCGGAGATTCTTCCTTCTGCCTGTTCCATACATTTGTATAAATCCATTATACCCATTTTCAAGGCAAATTCTGGCCTGGTTTTATTTTTATAGTTTGCTGCATATAAATTTCGCGTAGATCTCGTATTTGAGAGTTGCTTTTATAGAGTTGTTGATTGTAGATATGTAGTTGCGTTAAACGAGGACGTAAAGTAATTTGCTTGTTATCCGATCGCTGAATTTTTATTTGATTGATTTTTTTTTATTCGTTCCCAAATGTTTAGCTTTTTCTTTTTACAACTTGCTTATCCAACCCATATTTATAAAAAACAACGAATTTTTGCTATCGTTCAGTCTATCTGAACCGTCCCTGTAATCGACTCAATGAGCGAATCCCATGCTTAACTCTCCTTGCGCTCTCCAGACTATAACGTTTGCAATCTCGCTTAAGTACTCGCCATATCAGCAAACACTTCACACACACACACACACACACACACACACACTAGAGTGCAAAAACAATCCCGTTCTTTGCTACTGAGTGGAATATTAAGAATTAGCTTTCAGTCTACTTTGTCGTTTCTCTGAGGCTGGAACGCGTTTCGGCAGATTGCGAAAAAAGGCTAAAAATAAGTAAACAGATATGTCTGGAAAATTACCAGTGACCTTTGTCAAAGGCTTCCACAATGAGGAGCAAGTGAAGCGCATGGAGTACCGCAAGTTCGGTAAAACTGGTCTGGAAATCTCCAAAATCGCGTTCGGGGGAGGGGCGCTCTGTGCTAACTATGGGTGTGTTTTGAATGAAATAAGATAGAAACAGAGTGGCGATATGTATGTGTAAATTTGATTGTTGATGCAGCTTCGACCTAGAGGAGGGCATAAGAACAGTGCACGACGCTTTGAAAGCTGGCATCAACTACATAGACACAGCGCCGTGGTATGGCCAGGGACGCTCGGAGGAAGTGCTTGGCAAAGCGCTAAGGGACGTGCCAAGGGAGGCCTACTACATAGCCACCAAGGTGGCACGCTATGAGCTGGACTACGAGCACATGTTTGACTTTAGCGCGCAGAAGACCCGTGAGAGCGTGGAGAAGAGTTTGCAGCTGCTAGGCCTGGACTACGTGGATGTGATACAAATACATGACATCGAATTCGCCGAAAATTTGGAAATTGTGCTCAACGAAACTCTGCCCACTCTGGAGCAGTTGGTAAAAGAGGGCAAGGCCAAGTTTATTGGCCTATCCGCATATCCAATATCAGTATTAAAGGAGTGCATTTCTCGCGCCGAGGGCAGATTCGATGTGAGTAGTATTTCCCCCCATGAAGAATTTTATGCCTTAGCCAATATCTGTCTTATCCCTCAGACGGTGCTCACATATGCACGTTATACTCTTGCTGATAATACGCTGCTCGACTATTTGGACTATTTAAAGTCCCAGAATCTGGGCATTATTTGTGCAGCCGCACATTCGCTGGGTCTGCTGACCAATGCCGGGCCGCAGCCCTGGCATCCAGCCAGCGATGAGCAGAAGAAAATAGCGCGCAAAGCCGCCGAGCTATGCAAGAAGGAAGGGGTGGAACTGGGAAAACTGGCCATGTACTACACCATTCAACTACGCGATGTGTCCACATTTCTGGTTGGCAACCAAACGCGCCAGTTGCTCCAAATGAATTTGGCTGCCTTTTACGACGGCCTCAGTGCGAAAGAGCAGGAAGTGCTGCAGCATCTCAGAGAAAAGTGAGTGGTGGTCAAGTTGCAGTCGAACTTGCACTTGTACTCGGAAGCTATACGAAATTGTGCAACTCGGATACAATGTTACTATTGCATCACATCCGACTCCGTCGGCAATCGCCGTCAACAACTGTCCAGACACAGAGACAGAAATACCAACAACTCAAAGTCCCAGTCCGTGCTTGAGTCGGGTCCATTTCGTTGTAAATTTATGTGCCCACTCATTGACAATCTTGGCTATCGGTGCAGTAGGCAGCCAGCGACTCTCTCAAGTATCTCAATCTCCTCGTGCATTGCATGTTGTTGTTGAACTTGTTATAGTTTCGTGCCGCAGTCGAATATGAGTAGTAATTTGCAATTAATGATTATTTTACTTTTTCGCTCTTATTCGCATAATTTCTTTCTTTTTTGTTGGCCAATTCAATGATCTCTAATATTTACATATTTTTTAAACTGTTTTAGCATCTTGGTAAAACCTTTCCACTGGGAGGGCAACGAACTGGAACGATACTGGGCCGCACTTAAAAAGAAATAAATCACATTGGGATTTTAATAATTAACGCTTTGGTGTATACACTAAATTATTTTCGATGAACCAACCGAAGTCAAATATCTAACAGTTTAAACAAAAAGCTTCTGTCAACATTATCTATTATTCATGATGATCCAAATAAACCATTTACTCATGTACTTAATTTTTCGTAATTTTCATAATTTATTAAAATTATAGCAACTTGTTGAAAATTGATCTTTATCCGTTCTATTTTAAAATCCTTTCTCAAGTTGCATTTTACATTAGTACATATATGAAGAAAAATTGGAAGTCTATCTATATATTTTAGACTTGTGGTGTCAGGCTTGACGTGAAAGTTAAACTTTCATTTATACAACCTTTGACCTGCATTTTGTATCCCAGAGGCGTGGATTTGACGAAATCTAAAAAGCGCGTCTCAACTGAATTTTCATAAAGATCCTTGGAAATGCGTTTGAACGCAAGCCAATCAGTCATTAAGTTATGCACACACTGATCACTTTTTAGTATTATATTTACAACCTTTTTTTTTTTTTTAGTGTTCAAAGATATATGGTTAAGTTAAAAATTAATTAGAAGCGTAATAAAACCAAGTGGTTTTAAAAAGATCTATCGGCACTTCTAAACTTCTCTTGCATAATAATAATATAAATACTTATATTTCGATTATTTTACACTAACTTTGAAAATGACCGTTATTATCTGAATATATATATACATACTTTTCAATGTGCTGTTATCTTAGAGTGCTGATAACGATTTTAAAGAATTATTAGCTTTAGTTTACAAATGGCACTAATATTTGCATGAACAATTGAAAGACTATAGATTATAGATTATTAAAAAACATTTGAAATCAGTGATATAACCCGATTCCTATAAAACAGCAACCACGCGGTGACTCTCCAATTATGTGATTTATCTTGTTATGATCAATTTAAAACAAATCCATTACGTCCAACTGACAAATTGCTTTCGAAAATGCATTTTTGTTAGTTGCTTAAAAGAGACCAAATATGCAACTTCCACCTTTCGCTGCCATGGTCACCTGCCTGGCTGCCAACAAATGCACTAATTAAGCCTTAATTAACGCAATTGTTTATATATGTATACCACAAATAAAAATAAAAACGAACCACAGCATTTCTTGCTGTATGGAGAACCGTCGAAGCGCTTCGCGTTGTACAAAACGGGGAAGTTTAATAACATTTTGAATAATGAATACTCACAACAACAACAACAACTACAGCCGCAGCAACAGTAGCAAAAAGAAATGCAATAAATGCACAACAAAAATCCGCATGAAAAGCGGAAATGCTGTGGATGAAGCCGCATTTTGTTTTCCTTAAATTGCGCTTTGCGTTTGTGCCTTGCAACAATTTTCTGCCTCTGCCTAAAAATCATTTTTTTTTACTTACACTTTCGTGTATGCATGTATGTATGTATGTACGCACACTCGCCGTCACATTGCTCTATGCCAATAAATATAATCTTATCATTGTAACGGCGTCTGCCCGCCAGCTGATTGACCAGATTCTCTGTTGCGCACGCGCTCTTTCTTTTACTCTCGCACTCTTTCTCTTTCTCAACACCAGCTGCCCAAGTCGCGCTTTGAGGCGACTACGTTTATATGCGCTGCGCCGTCACAGTCGAAGCGTCAGTTTTGCTTAGAGCTTTGAGCCATCAGCAGGTGTTTCGTGATAAAGGCCAAATATAAAATCTGTTATACTCGTGTATATAACAAAAGTATTAGTCGAGTGCAATATGTTAAAGTTAAAAAATATGCTTTTGATTCTATTCGGCTGCAACCTATTGCTAGCCATCTACGCAACTGGTAATACTAAACAGCAACAACAGAACCAAGGTAGGCCATGGATCGCTGATTCACGCAAGGTGTGGAGAAATTTCAATGGCAAGTTAGGGCGATTCTGGGCAGACCAAAACAAAAGAAACCGGTTTCAATATATGCCTGTAGCCGGCGTAGAAGGCCAGAAAGAGCAAACAGAGATGTGCCTAGAGTTGCTTGAACTTTGAGATGAGCACTGACCGTTAAAATGTCGATTTTTCAAAAAATAAACAAATTTTGAAAACGTTAAGTTTTAGTGATTTAGATTACATTAGTTTCAATAATATTAACTGGAACTTGATATATTTGTTTGATGTAAATTGAACAAAAATCGAATTTTTTTTTCAAGCTTCACTCCTGCTAATTTAAGAATTCGTGTTATACTTCTTGGTCAAATCCTAAATGTATTTGCTAGACTACTCTTATTACAATTTAAAGCATTTCACACATTGTTGCAGAAACCTGGGAGCAAGACCTGTCCGACACTTTCAAAATTGAGGGCAGCGATCAGGGTATACAAAAGGTTAATCTGAAGTGTGGTGCCAATTCGATGAACGTCATGTTGGAGACTGAGAAACCATTTACTGGTGTTATGTACACACGTGGCAGCTTCTACAAGCAAACGGCGCCGTGTTTCATGAAGCCCACTTCGAACCAGGGTACACGCACATTGGAGATGAACTTTCAGTTAGACCAGTGCCAGACTCTTAAGGATGGTGAGCTTTATACGAACATTGTGGTCATACAAAACGACCCGGAGCTTATAACGCCTGGCGACTCGGCTTTCTCGCTGGAATGTGATTTCCGTCAACCACGCAGTCTGGATGTTGAAGCGAGCATGCAGGCTAGGGACAGGTAAGCTAAAGTGGAATAGTAATATCAATAAAAATACTACTTAATACTAGTACAAAAATTGAGTAAATATATATACATGGATATATACGATCTAAACTTAGAAATCCACAAAAATTGCGCGGAGCACGCGGTGGAACCCGCCAACGTCAATAGAACTTTACCCTATGTCTACCCATTAAGTTCTTCAACTATATTCACTTTGAATAGCTGTACTTAAGGTACAAATTCAAACTTGAACTTTTTGCCTTTGCACGTTATCTAAAAAAATAACCCTTTTAGTTTATGTAGCCTAACTAACAAACACAGAACACAACATAACCACATTAGATACATGCATACATTCCACAGAGTTGCGACCAAATCCAAAATAACACTCACAAGTCCTGATCCCGCGGCACCAATGGACAATCTACACAATTCGGTGTTTAGCAACAGTGATACAGTAGAATACATACCAAAGTTTTCCAAACCAAATGAAACCATACGCCTGGGCACGGTTGAGGAAGTGACTCTACCGCTGGCTCATCAAAGAGATGAGCTTTAAACATAGTAAACACTACCGCCACAAACAATACAAAAACATATCACAATTAAATAATTAAAACTACAGGTGAGACGCCAACACACGCTTTTTGTTGCATTAATTGTTAATATTGTTATGACGCTGCGGTAATTTTACATTATTTCGGTAACTTGATTAATTGATCAATAAATGTTCACAGGAAAAACGTGCAGAATTCCACACTGGCGGCCTAAATGCAACCGGACATTATTATTCATTTAAATGCTCTTTTTAACATCTCTATCCTGTGATATTTTTTAAGTTTGGGTTTAATAAAAAAAAGAGTAAAAAAAAATGTATTATCTTTAATCTGGCGCGTTCAAGGTAGAGTTGTTTTTTAGAACAAAAAACAGCTGTTATTTCTTTCGCAAAATCTGGCAACGCCGTCGTGATTCTGATGGTCTGGTAAGCCTTGGCAAATGAAAATGTACAATTAAATTTGCAGTTTTTGTTACAAAAGAAAATTGTTAAGGCTACAAGAAGCGCAATAACTCAGCTAGGTGCATTTAAAGACGATAAAAATCAAGTTTTGGCTGGTTTCAGGCATATGCATATACCTATATACATACACATATACAAATAATAGCAACTCAGACTAATTGCACATCATCTGTTGTGGTCTTCGTTATCGTTGCACATCTTGAGTTGCACAAAGAACGTCAATAAGCTGTAATTTAATTAAAAGTCCGCAATTGCAACATATTTAATGTTTTAAAATGGATTATCGTGTTTTTCTAACACTGTTATTCGTATTGAGCGGCACAATAAACGTTTTATTAATCAAGTAAGTGAATTGAAATTAAAAACTGCGCATATTGCAAAGCAATTAATTTTTGTAAAATGAATTGTAGATGGACGAGCATTCAATTAGTAGAGGGCAGCGATGAAAAGCTGCATCGTTTTCAGCATCCTGTGTTCTTAACACTGCTCATGTTCTTGGGCGAACTTCTTTGCTTTGGAGTTTACAAGGTGGTTTATGCGCTAATGAGTCGACGCGGGGTAAGTAGAAAGCCAGATAGCATGTACAATTAAAAATGGTTTCACTTTATGTCTTGACCAGCTTAGCACAGATCAAAATCTCGTTGTGACCAGCGGCAGCAATGAGTTTCATCCGTTCAGCATGTTGTTGCCGTCATTTCTGCGTACAATTGCATCCATTTTGCTGTTCACTGGCTTGTACTTGACATATGCTACAAGTTTTCAAATGATAAGGGGTGCGTTTATTAACAATCGCGTCTGCTCCGACTCAGCCCCTTTAGTATGTCTTGTCTCTTGCAGGCGTTGCGCTGATCTTTGTGGGCCTGTTCAGCAACATGTACTTGAACCAAACGTTGACAACACGCCACTGGCTAGCCATCTTCACCATGACGTGCGGCATCGTGGACATATTGGCCTTGGATGTCCAGCGGGTGGAATACGATAATCAAACGGTACCGCATACGGATCACAATACTATTTTGACAGGCGACTTATTGGTAATAATTGCTGAAGTGCTGCAGGCCTTTCAGTATGTGTACGAGGAGAAGCATTTGAAGGCCTCCGATATGGTGCCCATCCAAGCTGCTGGCTGGCAGGGACTATTTGGAATTATTATCACGATCTTGTCAGCGATTTGCCTAAACTTTATTCCTAGTGTTGTGCCCTTCAATGATAGCTCGCGCGGTGTCTTTGATGATCTAGGCGACCTTATTCCGCAGCTACGTGGCAACACAATGTTAATCCTTGCACTTGTCGGCTTTTCATGCTCCTGTGCCATTTACAACTGTGTGGGACTTTCGATCGCAAAGTTCTCATCAAGTGCTAATCGTCTGCTCGCTGATGGAATACGAGTTTACCTTATTTGGGCGTTTGTCATCTTTGCCGAGTGGGAAATTATGAACCTCATTACAATTATGGGTCTTCTCATACTACAAATGGGTATCGTCATGTACCGGCAGGCCATCTTTCTTGAATGGTATCGCGCCTTACTGGGTCGCTGGCAGCGCAGTCGTTATATGGACTTGAGCGCTAATGCTGGGCCCACGCCAAGCACCCAACCAGCTGATGTTATATAAAGTGTGGTAGTGACAAAGTTTTGAATTTATTGTGATAAGAGACGCGGGCTGATATATAAATATCCAGTTTTGGGATACATCATTTAAATTTACTTATCAACTGAAATAATAATACGAATAAATACCTTCATGTGTTAATTAAACTTAAGTGTATTTTGTTCCTTGAATTTATGCAGAAATGATTTAGGGTTAATATTAACGCAACCACATACATACGCTAATTATCTTACCTTCATGATGTGCTCCTTTTCATTTTGACCCCACGCAGCAGTATATTAAATCTTATATTTCGAATAAGGGGCTGGTATTTAAACGTGAATAATATTGAGTAATTAGGATAATCTCTTTTATTCAGCGTCAGAGCTGAATTTGTATACATAACTCATTAAGGCTAAAATATTACAAGGATGAAACCCTGCTATTACCAAAACATTCACCTTCTAACTTACTAACCACCAAAAATTTGCATTGCATTGAAATAAGAGATGAATGACATGCATTTCTCAGACAGACTTCTTTTGTTCAATGCCCAGAATACGCTCGCCTATACCCATAAAGTAGACCATCTGAGCTATTCCAAAAAGTGGAGCAATTACGATCATTCGACACAGCCCGCCCTTGAAGAATGCCTTAGGTCCTTCGTACTTCAATGTTTTGCTAGGAGTAGGATAATGTATCAGTGTTTTCTAATCAAAAAAGTTCGTATGATGCCTAAACCTACTTGATACAGTCGAAAATGCCGTCGAATTCCTTCTCGCCGTCCGCCTTTTTAATGGCTTGCAAACGTGTCTTTATCACATCTAGGGGTGTGACCGAGAAAGCAGCGGTCATGCCCGATAGCAGCCCAGAGATAAGGGACCACCAAAAGACGGCTTCACCAGAGGTGCCTGGTTTTCGGGGTCCACTGTCATTCAAAAAGGCAAAGAGTGGAAAGTAAATGACGGAGAAAGTAATGTCTCGCGCGCCAGTGGCCCGCACGCCCTTGTATAAGCCGAAGATGCCATTATCTTTCACAAGCTGCTTGGTAATAGACCAAGCAGTCACCTTTTTTAAATCCTGCCCACCCACACGACCGGCATCCTGCAACTGAATCTTTAAAAGCTCCATGGGCGTAGTCACAATGATTTGAAATGCACCAGCTAAGCCTCCGGCCAAACATTGCATGAGCAGAGTTAGTTTTCCCTCCGGGGTAGCCAGGTGATAACGAAAATAATCGTTAGCGGACAGTTTGATTCCCTTCTCAGGGGTGATCAATAATATGTTTACGGCTGAGCCGCGGTACATGCCAAAGTAACCCTCCGTCGCGTAAATCTTGCGGAAGCAATCGAACCTAGAGACAATTATAAATAATAAGCAGAAGAGACCAATATTCGATTGGCACTAATGCTTCATCACTTACATGCTAGTGTACATGCGTTCACCATTGGGACCGATTTGTTGATTTTGCAGTCGCGTCTTCACCAAATCCAACGGAAAGACACATGTCACACCAATGATGCCTGCAATGCCGCCGTTAATGATTCTGGGCAGGACGCTGTTGGAAATTTGGTTACACATTCGATGTAGTTTATCTGAATCTGAGCAAAAGCTTACGAAAAGCCCATATTCTTCTTTTCAGTTGCCATTAGATCACAAGAAATTTATAATTTTTTTAACTTCTAAATTAACAAAAAAAAATCACCTTATACATTAAAAAAAATAGCAGAAAAGTGTAGTCCACATTTGTATCAAAACTTAAAACAATATGGATAGAGACTATATGACTATGCCTACTACTTTTCTCAGTAGTTGTGCGCTTGAAGTCTATGAATAAAGAACTAAAAACTGGAATCAACGTTTTCCACTCAAATGTTGGCCATGTATCAAATCAGCGAAGATCTTTAAAAATAAGCTGAAAGTCGATCGGATGATAATAAAAAAATTTGCATAAAATCCTTTTTACCAGATTTTTATAGTTGCGGGTGGAATCGCTATTAACACACCTCGAAGTTGACTTTTCATACAACGACCATCACAAAACTACAGTCAAAATGACTCCTTCCTAACTCTTACGGTTTGGGCTGTGCGTTGACCAACAGTCAGTGAGGATCTATAGGGATTATACTATTATACACATTTGACCTTTATTGTATATATATAATTAGGAAAACAGCATCGCTACGTCATTACAACAACTTAGCCACACACATATGTGTACACACCTACACACAAAAACTAACTTCCTTCATCCATGAACATATTCATTTTTTTACTCTAATAAATATTTCATTTGTTAAGGGAGAGACAATATAAATAGAGGAATATAACTACTATATTTAATAATAAATTAGGAAGAAACTAAAGACGATTTTGAATATTTTCAAAAATAAATAAAGTAAAAGTAAAAAAGTACCTTTAACCTTAATTTGAATTAAAGTTTTGGTATCACTTCAGATGCGGCTTGCTTTTATTTAACTAATTGAACTAAGCATTCGATGCGAGGTATATATAAAATTTAAAATCCATTTGTGCCCATAATTACTAATATTTATGATAAATGTGCGCGCTAAAATGGGGTTTAGGAAAATACCAACCGCCAATGTGAAAACATCGTGGAAAACGGGTGTATAAAATCAGATGGGCACCAAGCCTACTTTTAAAGTTTTTATTTTTAAATTAATTTTAGACGAATTTCGCCCTTTTCGAAAAATCATCCTCAATCTACCATAAAAGGTTTAAGTCTACATTTCTGGCAATGTAATTAACCATCAAAGCTGTGAGATATGTAGATTGTCGAGACAGGCGCGGACGGGTTTGAGGAGCTTACCCGAATTTCAAATCTCTGGCTTTGATTCGAGAAATTAACTGTCAAGCAAATATTCACTTAGGGAACAGAGTACTAATAAATAAATACAGCTAAAAATTGGACGGTTTTTCAAGACTTACCAATTTTAAAAAATATTAGGTTCCTCTATGCAAACAAGTATTACATAAATTTTTATAGCCAAATTATTTATTATCTTATACAAATAAATGAACCACATTGTTGTAGTCGAAAAAAATTAATCAAATTTTAAATTATAACAAAATTAAGTTACACAGGCTAATTTTGTTCAATATCCAGAATACGTTCGGTCATACCCAAAAAGTAGACCATCTGAGCTATTCCAAAAAGTGGAGCAACTGCAATCATGCGACACAGCCCGCCCTTAAATAATGCCTCAGGTCCTATGTACTTATGTTTTGCTAGGTGTACACTTATGTATCAATTTTTAAATCTTGAATCTTTAAAAGCTCACAATGATTTAAAATACACCAGCTAAACCTCCGGCCAGACATTGCATGAACAGAGTTAGTTTTCCCTCCGGAGTAGCCAGGTGATAACGAAAATAGTCGTTAACGGTCGCGGTACATGCCAAAGTAACCCTCCGCCGCGTAAATCTTGCGGAAGCAATCGAACCTAGTGAAAATTATAAATGATAAGCACAAGAGACCAATATTGGATTGCCACTAATGCTTACATTACTTACATGGGTTCACCATTGGGACCGATTTGCTGATTTTCCAGTCGCGTCTTCACCAAATCCAACGGAAAGACACATGTTACACCAATGATGCCCGCAATACCGCCGTTAATGACTCTGGGCAGGACGCTGTTGGAAATTCGGTTACCCATTCGATGTAGTTTATCTAAATCTGACCAAAAACTTACGCAAAACTTTCAGATTTCGTTTCAGTTGCCAATCGATTAAAATGCTTTAACTTGAAATTTGAAAACGTATAATAATTGATGTAATAAAATGTGGGTACATTTCACTAACGTAATAATATTATGTCAGTTTTTGTAGAATATATGTATGCATGTCAATATGTAATATTGCTTTAATGTTTTTAACAGTTACATTATTCGTTGCCTAAAAGCAAAAGAAGACAAAAATGCAATTTACTAAATAATCATAACGGCAAAAGAACGGGCAAATTGTAGAGACTAATTGTAATGTTTATCTATAGAGACATCATTTGCAATTTTATAGATATGTTTGGCTAAAATAAACACTTACATAATATAGCATTGATTTGAATTATCTTATTGTCATTGGGGTAGAAGTTCTTTTGCCTGTAATAGTTTCTATTATTGCCTTTATAGATACACATACATGTGCACATATATATATATAAATATATATATATATATATATATATATATATATATATATATATATGTGCGTATATACATCTACAAGGGATAAATAATTGCATATTCTAATAGCGCGCTTTCACTTTTTACATCGAAATTAGACAGCTTTAACAATAACAACAATAGCGTTAGCGCATACATGTACATCTAACATTTAGAGAGGAAATGCTTCTGGACAACTTTCGTATGCCATTTACTTCTTTTGTACGCCCAGCAAGCCTTCGGCTACGCCCAAATAGTAAACGGTTTGTGCGATACCAAACAATGGAGCAATCACTATCATACGGCAAAGACCTCCCTTGAAAAAAGCGGTGGGTCCTTCGTGCTTCAGAGTTTTGCTGGTGATTAAAAAAAAAAAATAACAGACACAAAAAAAAAAACCGTAAATATATAAGAGCTTACCTAATGCAATCAGATATTCCCTTAAACTCTTTTTCGCCATCGGCCTTTTTAAGAGCCTGCAAACGCGTTTTGACTACGTCAAACGGATTGACTGCCAGGGCTGCCGTTGAGCCAGCTGCCAAACCGGCCAAGAAGGAGCACCTTATGCATACAAATAAATCAATTAAATCAGGCAAAAGAAAATCGGATGATCATGCCTACCAAAATACCGCTTCGCCAGAGCCATCGTTCCGCCGAGGACCCAAATCATTAAGTGTGGCAAAAAGTGGAAAGTAAATGACTGAAAATGTGACATCACGTAGGCCCGTAGCACCAATGCCCTTATACAGGCCAACGATACCCTTCTCTTTGATCAGTTGCGTGGCCAATTGTGTGGCTGACACTTTTTCAACGCTTTTGCCAGCCAATTTAGCGGCAGCGGCAACACGCCCGGCATCCTGCATTTGAATTTTCAGCAGCTCCATGGGCGTGGTCACTATAATTTGGAAAGCACCAGCCAAACCGCCAGCCAGCATTTGGCAGCTCAATGGCAGTTTACCATCCTTGGTGGTAAGTTTATGTCGGAAGTAATCATTCGCCGTCAGTTTGATCGCCTTCTCAGGTGTGATTAACAAAATATTCACGGCCGAGCCGCGGTACATTCCGAAATATCCCTCTGCAGAATACGTTTTGCGAAAGCAGTCGAACCTTGAATTGAATGTAAACCATAATTAGCATGGATCCCACAGGAATGAACGACATAGATTCCCACTTACATGCTAGTGTACATACGTTCGCCATTTGGACCGATTTGCTGGTTCTGCAGCCGAGTCTTTACCAAGTCCAATGGAAACACACACGTGACGCCAATAATGCCAGCAATGCCGCCGTTAATGATCTTCGGTAGCAATCTGTAAAATATATATGTATATATGGTATTTAAATAGTGCGCGTCGTTTCTTATTGGCTAATTGACAAATATTTGCACTGCGTTAACCCTTGCATTCATTATGTGTGTGCAACAACAACCAACAGTTCCCAGGCAATCAACCTTGACATTGATCTAGCAGCGCTGCTGCATGTGCCACTTATCGCTGGCGATCTATATCGATAAATCGGTAATCGACAATCGGTTATTGGTGGTCAGAGCACATTTTAAAATGATGCGAGAAAACAGATAGCAAAAAAAGATTTCGACTTTAGCCTCGTTTGTTTATTAGGCGAATATTAAAAATAATTGGGAATCTGCCAGCATACCTTTAAAATGTCTCAGATTTTCAATGTTTGGCGCTATTTATAGTTGGCACCTCAAAATACAAATAATGCAAGAGCAAAATTGCGAGTGAATAAATAAGGATTGCAATATGCAATATTATATCATTGGATTTGAACGCGCAGGCGTTTTTGGGCCCCATAGGGGGTCATTGACTTTTTATCAGTGGCTGCGAACGTAATATCCAATAATTAAATAAATATAAAGCAACTAATCTACAAAACAAATGAACAAATACCTAAATACATTTGTATTTACCCATCTATATTTTTATTTGTTGTTTGCCACTGTTTTTAATTGGTAAGGTTTTGTTTTTATAGTTTTTAAACAACTTACGCAAACTTCTGCTGCGGAGATTGCAGTGGCGGATTTGCTATTAGTTCATCTGGTTGCTGTTGTATTGCTGTCATTTTGCTAGAATTAAAGAAAATAAAAGAATTCAATCAGTATGCTAAAAGCCAACAATAATCTTCATAAATGATTTAGAGTTTTACAAAAACAATCGATCGATTGGTCAGCAAAAAGTTAAGCAAACTTTAGTTTCTTGTAGCTGCTAGAGAAGCTTTCTAAATTTGCCAGTCAGCCATGTAACTTTACAATGAGGATACAATGAGGATACTAAAAGCAAATAATTATTAAATTAACTTATTGCTATAAAAGAAAATTATTTGGTTGAACGACCTTTAATCGGTTTACCGGCACTTTATAAATAATATATACCAAATAAATGCAACATATGTTACTGAAATATCATATGGGATTTACTTATTAAAGATAAGTGTATACTTAAAGTTTTGTCTGTATTAAACAATTGATACGCTGTCTTAAGCTTATCTTTCCATACACATTGAAAAAGCGATATGTCAGTAGGTTTGTTATACAGAGTGTCGGGCAGGGAGGGGAGGGGGTCCAAGGTTTATTGATATGCAACAAAAGCGAGTTCTGGTTCTTCAGAGATTAGCAACCATATCAAATGGGAGCGCTTGCGGGGAATGCTCACTATGTCAATTTCTATATACTTGTTTACGCAAGTGTGTACTAGTGATTTTTAGCAATAAGGCGATAATTAAATTAGTAAAATCACTTTTAAAAAGTTGAATTGTACTTTTAAATGATCAGTTAACCGAAATTTAATAACGGTATTACCGTAGAGGGCGGCAGATAAGCGAAGTGGGCCTTTTTATATTATTATTTTTAACAACAGAATTATTGTAGACATAAAGATATGCGGTCCGAAAAACACCGCATTGTAGAAGGCCAAAATGCTGCTTGGGCCAATGTCTCGAAGAAAAATCGTTATATCATTATAAAGCGATTTAGATTAAAGAGCAACACATACATACACATATACGCATATACAATTTGTAAATTGTATATGCATATGAATGCATACATTTGGGTGTATGTACAATTTGTCGTTTAATTGCTGTTATCAAGCCATTTCACATTATCGATTACTGTTACTGCCTGAAAACTGCAAGTCGAACAACTTTGCGTTTGTTGAGATTTTTGTTTTCGGCCTGTGGTGTGTTTTGTTGAATTAGAACAGGTAGTGCAACTAAAAGAAGGTCAATGTTTTTGTCATTTCTTACTTTTTGACCATTTTTACGTAATTTTGATGTACATCTGTTTATCACTGGCTAGCAGACAGCACCACGTTATAAATTAAATTGATTGATGCACACTTTACATACATACATGTATATACATAACTGCGCGTGTACCTATTTGTGTGCATATATGTGTATGTTAGTGCGAAATATCAATACGTACGCATGAATATATGTACATATATGTATGCGTTTTGGGTAAATTTTATAAAGTTGATTGGCGTGTGTGCCGTCGACGCAGTTGAAATTAAAGACAACAGCAGCCAAACTCACATATTTATTTGTTATTGCAATCAGCTGTGTTAATTGACTTGTTCACTTTACAAATAATAGTTTGGTTTAATATACAACTTTTATATGATGTATGAATATATGCAATGAAACGAAATATACATATGAGTATTTGTTTTCCTACGATTTTCGGCGCTATGTCGTCAGCGTGCGACACTAAACACTTAAACAAAAGCTTAGGGTGTTAATGCGGTTACTGCAACGGGAACTCTCCCAACGGACTGCCGGCGTGTACTGTTCATTTAAGTTTTTATTGTAGCTAACAAACTGCTAGGTAGAAAGCTCAGAGAATTTAATTTATCGATTGCGCCAGAGTCTGGCAACGCTTGTTCGGACAGAGTGTGTCCAAGAGACTCGAAACCCGTTTTACAGCACTTGAAATCATTTCGATTAGTTCTTCGTTTCGTCAAGTTGGACACAATAATATTGTTGATAAGTACACAGAAAGATAAGTACAGCTAAAGTTATAACATTTGGACAATGAGTTCGGCACGTTTTGCTCGTTCGGGCCGCGTTCGAATATGCATTCTGATGAGCATGTTTGTTGTGCTCATCATGATGATTGTCATTTACCACATGTCGCAACAGCAACTTGACGAGACTCGAGTTTTTCGCCAACATTGCGAACAAAAACAGGAGGAATTGAACATAAGGCTACAGTGTAAGTTGCCATCCCACCGATATGGCGCTTAGTTTTCCTTTATGAAGTTTTTATTTTATGCAGCGCTCACTGACAACAAGCTGGCGGCAGAGAAGAAAGTGGAGGTGATGCGTGCGGAAAAGCAAAGTATACAGGATGAGTATGAAAAGCAACAGGACGCAGAACGTACACTGCAACAGAGGTACGATGTGCAAATTAGCAAATACAAAATACTCGAGGACAAACACAATGAACTACAGGCTGAATGCGTCAAGAGCAAGAAGAAGCACATCGAAGATACAAATGCATTGATCGCGCAGTTACAGCAGCTGCAACAGGACAACAAGCAGCACGAAGCAACAGTCTGGAAGGTGCGTCAGTAACCTAATTATATTTTCAATGCGCACTTTCGGTCACCAGAAAGTTAATCTTTCGATTGCTTGCTTTTTTGTTTAAAGGATAAGTACGAGGCGATTCTTAAGGAATCCGAACACAAAACACACACCCTAGAGGAAGCACTTAGCGAACTAAAGGCTCACTGCGAATTAAAGGCGCAGGCGCAACCGAAACACCAACTTGTTAAGCCAGTCGGGTCGCTGAGCCCGGACACGACGCCCACACATCACTACAGTCCCGCCCAGCCAGCGCACAGCATTGAGAAGCCCCGCAACGAAAAGTCTTTCAACGAGCAAGTACAAGTGAGTCCAGGACTGTACAGAATAGGCGTCTCTAAGACGAGCCAAGCAACTAACCCAACAACTAAACGCCATGGTGTCGGTGTGGAACGGCTGCTGGAACTGAAACAGCAACATTTGCAGCGCTTTGATCTGCGCAATAATAATAGCCTCATACTAAATTCTGTTGAAAATTTTCAGATTGTGCCCAAAGGGCTGAAAACTTTAGCGGATGAAACCAATAAACAACAACAGCAAGATCAGCCCGTACTCGCCGCTGCCGCAGCCGCTGGAGCCGTTTCGCCGCTAAGCGCGCCCCGGAAGTCCAACTCTAGTACTCCAAATGCCGAAGCATCACAAAATGCCTCTCTGGCACCAAAAGCCGTAGGTAGCAGCAGCAGTAGTGGTCAGCCGCCTTTGGTTATGCCGCCAGCGAAGCCATCAGCTGAAGCTAAAATAGAACGCAAGCTACCTGAGAATGTGGCACCTATTCCTGATAATTTCGATGGCAGAGGTGAGCCAGCGGCGGATGTAGATACGGCAGCCGAAGAGCTGCCCAAAAACGAAAAGAACAATCGATATTCCAATGTGCTGGACGATCTGGAGTCTAATAAAAACCAAGGAATAATTGACTCTGGAGCGCATGAAGTTAAGGATGCCTTAAACGAACAAAACTTCAATTTGCCAGGCGCTGAACACAATTTATTTGATAACGATGTTGGAGCTGGTCATGCTGCTGAAGCGGATAACAAACTGTTGGCCGCAGATGCAGCCGCTGTTGGTGGGGGTGGAGGTGACGACGATGACGACGTTATGTTGGGGGATGTGGCGGTAAAGCAGCCCCAGCACTTGCTCGACAATGACAATTTAAATAATGAAATCGCTGGAGATCAGGGCAAGGAGTTTGCCGATGCTGTGCATCTGGACGATGGCATGGATGAGGATCAAGATGGTAATTTTGATTAATATTATTTATCGACACCTTTCTTAAGATACATTTTTTAGAGGATGACTACAACGTGCCCGCACGCAAGGCGGCTGCCGATTCGCCTGTTAGAAATTAGAGGATTCCCTGTAGATTTAATAGTCTATGCTATACATTAGTATTTTAAACCGGCATCTCTACTGGCAAATCTGATTAGCTCTTCAAGGTAAAATCAAATACCAGCCACTTTAGTTGATAAGGTTCAGTCCCATTCTCATCAATAAGATTTCATTGAAAATTAGGAGGCAGAAATTCCACGCAATATGATTGTATTCGCAAACTGTTGCAAAGTGCAATATTTAATTAGATTTGTAAAAAACCGGTTAGTGCACAACATTTCAATTTTTTGATCATTTCTATATTGTTATTTAAACATTAAAAACTATTTAATTGATAATTCGTCTGTTAGTACTTGAAAAATTTCAAAATTTATTTACTTATACATTTATTTATATCTATTTGTTCAGTGTATGTATTCAAGTAAATATTTGAAGTTTTGGAGACAGTGTGAGATAAATTAATTATAGCTGCAAAACAATCTAAGAATTCAAAGTATCTTACTAAGCGGTATATATGTAAATTGTGATTATGTTTAATTAATTCTTATAGCCGGCTCTGAAGCGCTCATTGGGTTATTGTGTGTTAAAAAAATTGTGTCGAATTCTTCCTCCTAATATTTGATGGCTTTAGTGTTTTTCATCTGTCTTGAAGTTGTAAGTATATACTTTGTTTTCTGTGATAAAAACTTGCAAAGCTGCATTTTTTCGTTGCTTTAAACAATTGTGTCTGTACTCATTTATTATTCAAGTATATGATAATGATAATTTAGTTAAATCGTAAGTCAAATCGAAACGAACAAACTGTGTCTACATTTTAAAACACAAAAAACTTTATTTGAAGCGTAATGAATTTAATTGCATAAATAATAATCATAAATGTTTTTTGTTCTCTTAATCTGAATATATTTTTTAATGAGATAATTAAATTAACCGGCGCTCAGACAAAATTTAAACATAAAAACTGAAACAATCAAATACAAGTAGAGTATAAAATGAGTTTAAGATTACAATTCAGTGCATCATTGTGTGTGAGCTATAATCCATGGATGCAGCATGATCTGATCTAGCGGCATTCGATGCTGGGGATTCAACACTAATAGCTTGGATATTAAATGAGCTGCCGCTTTAGAAACGTGCTCTGGGAGTTTGTAGTCCACCTTAAGTATCTTTTTGTATGTCTCCTCATAGTTTTTCGAATAGAATGGCGCATGACCCACCAGCAGCTCAAAACATAGCACACCCAAGCTCCATAGATCGACGTTTTTGGTATGCGGCTTGTTTAACACCATTTCGGGTGGTAGGTAATCGACAGTGCCGCAGAGCGTCATACGCATCGAATTTGGCTCATGAACCGACCAGCCGAAATCTGCTATCTTTAAGACCCCTTTGTGACCCAAAAGAAGGTTCTCCGGCTTAATGTCCCGATGTATAATATCACGTTCATGCAGATACAACAGCGCCGAGCAAAGCGCCTTGATATATGTGGCCGATTGACGGTCATCGAATCGTTTTAGTGGCTGCGCCTGCAGAGCACTGAACAGCGTGCCTTGAGGTGCATATTCTAAAACCAAATAGATGCGCGCATCGTCATGAAAATAGGCATACAAACGCAATATATGCGGATGTCTTAGATGCGATTGGATTTCAATTTCGCGTCGCACCTGATGCTCTACATTTGTCTCGCCAATCTGACGCTTGAAAAGTACTTTCAGGGCAACGACAAACTGGGACTCCTTTTCGCGCGCCAAATACACGTTGCCAAATTTACCTCGCCCTAGCTGGCGACCGATGTCAAAGTTGCTCAACGCCCATGTCTTTTTGGGTTTTGCCGATGCTGCTTCTGTTTCTGCGTGTAGATGTATCTAACCATGTTTTTGATTTAATTACTGATTATGCTGATTTGACTTACCAGTCTTGTCTTTATCAGTGCTGTTGCCGTTTGTGTTAGTGCTGTTTCCAGGGATTGAAGACGGCGGTTGATTCTCGGTGTTAGCCAAAGCCGTGTTCAGTTTTTTTGTGGATCCTGCTGCTGCAGTCGCTGCTGTAATCTGTTGTTTTTGTTGTGCAACCATCATAGCCTTTGTCCCCGGTTTTGATAATTGTGCGCCAGTTTGACTGCAGCCAGGTGCTGTCGCCAAACTTTCAGTTGTGGGCTAATGATATATGTATATTTGTCACAATGCAAAATTAATTTTAAGCCCGAATTACTAAGTATACAACCTTCTTTGTTAACAATTGCTTTTTTTGCATGGCAATTGCAGCAACTGCTGCCGAAGTTCCAGTTCCTGGTTTGAGTAATGCATTTTCCTTAGCACGTAATACATTGTTCGGCTTGTGCGACATGTTATAAACAACACTAAATTAAATTGTAATGCCAATTGAAAGCTTTTAAAAAGTCAATTGGTAAAAATTCTTGGGCTGAATTACTGTGACCTGTGTGAAAATAAAATGCCGTTTGTTTGAATTGGAAGCGCGTGTATGCGTTTCCGGGTGAATGCCGATAGCAAGGCTTTCAATTGTTGTATGTGTAGTGAATGGCAATAAAGTGATTTTGAATCCCTGCAGCAGAATTTGTTAATTTTAGTGTGAATACATATATCTAGAATATTTTTATTTTAATTATTGGCTTTGACTTTAGAAACCCTCTAAAATGTCATTGTTACTTTGTATATATCAATACATAAATACTTGCTATAAGTAACAGATACAAAAATATCGCTAATATCCAACGTGTTACTGCTGCATTGCGAATGTCTATATGTATAGAGCAAGAAAATGGCGTAAAAGTCGAAAAATCGTTTAGAAAATTGTGTAAAACTTTAGTGCAAACTAGAATATAGTGTAAATCATAATAACAAACAACATGTTCCCCAGTGGCAATACCAATGCCGATCTGGGCTTCAACAAACACAATCAATATATGGCGCAACCACCACATTTTCTAACTGCCCCAGGTCCCGGACCTGGTCCGGTTCCCGGTCCTGGAGTCGGTAATCCATTAGGAGCTGCAGCACCCGTTATGCCAATGAACATGCAGGGTAGCATAGACTGGGCGCAATTAGCACAGCAGTGGATACACATGCGTGACTCGTCAGCAGCGCCGCCGCTTGCTAATTTTAGCGTGAATATTCCGATTGCGCCTCCACCGCCGATTATAAGCAATGCGCCAGAGTACCACCTCCATCATCAACAAGAGCTGCGCCAACGACAGCCTAAAGCTGAAACGCACTACCAGGAGCACGGCGAGGCCGAAATGGACATGGATTTGGATGACGAGGACAATGATAATATTGGACGTGCAATGCATAGCATTGATCATTTACCCCCTCCGCCAGTAGTTACGCAATCACAATGGATGGCTGGCGGCCCAAATGATGTGCACATTACAGTTTCATCCAACGATGCGGGTGAGTGATCACCGCCATTCCGTTCGCAATGTACTCAGATGCATGTTCTTAATCCCAAACTAGTCGGCTCTGATACTCAACAGTGGAATGATTGGTCAACGCGCAACAATCCCACAGCCCATATTCCATCGCTCTTGAAACTCAACGTCTGTAATCCCAATGAACCAGCGCAGCTGCTGCAGCAAACACAGCAGCCTCTGCCTATTATTAGCAGCATCAGCGGCGGTGGTAGCGGTAGCGTCAGCACCGAAATTGATGCCAACAAACGTAAAATGTTGCCTGCGTGGATAAGGTAAGCCCAAACTAAAAACAAAACGATTCAAAGAGTTAGTTTATAAGTGATTGACTTAGCATTTATCGCAGCAATTAGTTCGAAATTAGATTTTCAAACAGATCAGTGATATTTCGGTTCTATATGTTAACAGGAGATGTGTGCAAATGGCAAATAGTTGTTATATAAGCACCGTACGGCTTTTGTGCTTGTACCACATCCCGTTTTTAGGCTCTAATAAAATATCTTATCCTTACCGAACAGTTAATATAGCATATATTGCACATCAGGCCGGGTATTCCTCGGTACTCGACAATAATTTGTTCGTTCTTCTTATAATTATTGACTTGTTTTTATGTCTTGCAGAGAGGGTTTGGAGAAAATGGAACGTGAAAAGCAACGTCAGCTAGAGCGACAACAACCCCCAACGCCGGAAACCGAGTCACCAGCATTCAATGTTAAGCAAGTATCAAGCAAAACACTAACAACATCTGTTAATATCTTGAACATGTCGAACGTGGTAAGTAGAGCAGTGTGTCTCTGGCTGCATTTGACTCAATTTTAACTTGTGCAAGTGCCAAGTGCAACATGAAATTAAATTGGTTGCCCAAATGCACACAAGCAATGCACAGCAGACCAAAGGGTCTACGTACTTAACAGAACGCCTTGCAATTAACATGAACTTGAAATTCAGGCAAGCGACAGCGAAGATTCAATTGCCGCTCCTGAGGAGGCAACTCATGCGCCAAACCTGGCTCAGCTAATAGGTAATGATGTATTGAGTAAAGGCAGTCACAGCGATGAAGAGCAGGATGACGACGAGGAGGAGGAACAGCAGCAACAGCAGAACAGTCGACAGAATGTTGGAATTGTTGCAAGGGCAGCCAATGCTGAAGCTGCATTAAGTGGTAAAAACTACGAAGAAAGACTGGCGGATTTGGTAGGCATCACTATTTTGACACAAGGTGTGCTCATCCAGGGAATGAAACCTTAAACCGGTCCGTGCTCCTGTTGCTGGCAATATAAGCACTGTAATCCAAATTCGAAATACGCGCTATTGAAGTTGATACCCAATATTAAATAAATAAAACACATTTAGTAGTACAAATTAGGCTACAGTGAACGCTCAATGTGGTGGATCAATCAAACTAAAAATGTTTTGATGTTCTACTAACTCTAATTTTTAGACCATTTGAATATATATATATTTTTTTTTAATGATATTTTTCAAAATTAAATGCTCGTTGAAAAGTTTCCGATTTCGAACGCTATCTTATAACAGAAATTTGGAACAATTTGTAAATGTAGTCCCATACCATCTCATGGTTTTAAATATCTTACAGAATTGCTTTTAAAAAAAGTATTGTAAGAAAGCGAAAAAGAAACTACTAAGTTTTTACTATGTTATTTATTATGGTTGTAAATTCATTTGGAATACTACAACTGCCCTTTTGGCTTTCGCTACTAAACACAAAATTCAAATATTAAATTCGTGTCAGTTAATTGACGTAAATGAACGGTTGATGGTTAACGGTTTCATTATCTGGCGCCACTTTGTACCGACAGGCATTTGAAATATCGCAACCAATATATCAAAAACCAATCTATAGATGCTTGTTGTGCGTCGCACACTAACCGAAATACTGCTGGAAACCACCAATGAAGAGATTGCAGCTATTGCTACCGAAACACTCAAAGCGCATCGCGCTAAAGGTACATTATATGAACTTTAGAACATTAAGCTTATCGCAAACGATTTTTTACAGTGACAAAATGTGTGTGAAGCTGTGTGTATGGGTTGGGTGAGTGTGTAAGTACAAGTGTGTGTGCGATTGTCATACCTGTATGGCAAAAGCTCAAGTAAGTTGAGCCATAACTTTAAAATAAGCCCGCGCTGAAATGTTTGGAATTGTTCACCTCACCCTGGGAGGAAGTCGTCCTTATTTTGGCGTGCTTAAGCAATCGTTTTTAGTTTGAAAATTAATTTTACTTTATGTCACTGCTTAATACTTGAAACAAACAATCCAATCATATGCTGAATTTCTCTATATAATCGTAATATATATATATTTATATATATATATAACTATGTGTATGTAAATCAAAAGCGTCATCAGCCCAAGTGATTCGCAAAAGCGCCTTGTCCTCCATTACCGGCAATTTGGGTAAGTAACAAATTACAATTTATCTCTAAGTTCTTGAACACTATTGTTAAATAGGTAGTCTGAATTTAGCTTACCCCACAACCCTCATAGTATTATTCCCGTATTTCGTACACAATGAACGGGTTTGGCTAACTATCCATTTGTGTTATCTTTCACAAATTCTGATTGATCTGTCCAATTTAAATTAGTCTGACCACTTTCAAATTTTCAAAATATTCAACTAAATATATTTCGAGCCGGACAAACCGTTTTTGCACTCAATTTTTCGTCACTTTTTCTATGTCTGCCAAAACTCTAATATCAAAAAAAAAAAAGTAAAATAAATAAATGTACAAGTCCCAAATAATAAAATACCAAAACCGCGCTTTTTCAATGAATGCCTGGCAGCAACAATTAGCACTTGATTGATTTGAATTATAGGATTAGCTGTCTATGGCGATTCTTCGAGTGAAAGCGACGAAGACAATGCTGATGATAACGATGGCGACCAAATCGATCGCAATTTAGATTCATCCGCGGATAAAAGTAGTGAGCTTAGCGCAGACGAGCTAAAGGTACAGTGCCTTGGTTATTTTCCATAAATATATATTAATACCATATTGTTATCTGAATCACATAATTTATAGGCACGCATACGAAAAAGTAAACGTGCTTTTGCAAGAGTCATCGATGACATCGAGGAGCGTGTGTCGCTGCAAGAGCAATTGGATGAGCAAAAACTGCAGCAACATCGCAAGCAGGAATTGGAGCGAACTGAGGCTGCCAGGCATTGCGCTCTCACCGAGCAGCGGCATACAGACCCGCCTGCCGAAGAAACAGCAACGACGGCTTCTGCCAATGACAAGCTGCAAAAATTCAATGGTATGTGCAAATAATGTGCCTGTGGGCAAAGCATTTTAAATAGTTTGTCAACAATTTTATAGGAAAACGCCTCAGTCGCAAGGAGCGGACAACACGCTTCAGCGACAACAAGGACGGCAAACAGCCCCAGAGCTATGTGAGCCAAGTGGTTGCAGTTGCGGCGGCGCAAAACAGCATAATGCCCCAGAAACTAAAGCCGGTGCCTAATCCGGCCACCAATTTGTTGCAAATGCCCGAATCTATGGCAAGTATACTAAGTGCTGCTGACAAGGCGCTCGACAAAGCAAACAAAACATCTAAAAAGTCAAAAAGCAGACGTCGCCAATCGTCATCGTCCTCGTCCTCTAGCAGCAGCGGCGACAGCAGCAGCAGTAGCTCAAGTAGCGACAGCAATACCAGCTCCAACAGTTCAAAGACCTCCAGCAACAGCGAGGGAAGCAGTACTCGGAGCAGCGCCGCTGTCAAAAAACATAGGCATAGCAGCCACCGTCAGAGCAGAGGTAGCAGCGGTCACAGGCAGCGAAGCGACTCAAGCCGTAAAGCGCATCACAAGGGTCAAGGCAGCAGTAGTATGCACAATTATGACCGTCATCATGGTAGCCGAGAGAGTCGTGAACGCGATCGGAATCGTGAGCGTCATGCTGTTTCCTATAGCAGACAGCGTCATGAACGACGGCGACGTCATCAGCGGGATTCCAGCCAGTCAGCAGAGGAAAAAAGCAGCCGCAGCTATCGTCGAAACTCGCGACACAGCAGTAGTCGCAGCCACCAGAGTAGCAGCTATGGTAAACATAGAGAGAGGACTCGATCGCGCTCCAATTCGCGCAGCACACACAATTCCCATTCGTCTGTTTCAGCTTCACATCAGCAGCGAAAGCGCAAGTAATTTATGCTAATGGGATTTTCTGTTTTTGATGATACTCTTTAATGCAGCTTAGAAAATATACAAAAACTATTAAAAGTTTGTTACCTCACATGTCTTATCTGGGCTGAGATGATAAGTATACGAGCTAAATTCATTGCAGATTATCTCAAAATGTCAAGACCGAAAGGTTTCCAAAGCAGTTACCTGACCTTTGACCAGCATTATTGATATAATGAAAAAATCAATATATATTTCGAAAAGATTTGGTCGCTGCGTGTTGTTTCAGTTATCTTAGACTTGGCACACATGCTTATTTATTAAATACATATCTTTTAGAACTTGATACATATGCGAACATATAATGGTAGATTTGAATTGGTATATCGCAAATATAGTTACAAAAAAACACGTATAATTATTCGTACGTCAATAGTATGGCTAAATTATACAATTGAGGGAAAATGCGAGAAAAATGCTAAAAATTATGGTTAATTAGTTGGAATGAAAACGATCTTGGGAAATATTACATATTACATACAACTTATAGTAAAGAAATTAAAAACTGATCACTTTGGAGAGGGCATGGATTACATATTAAAACTTGAAGAGGAACAAATATGCGATACAATTTCAGGCAATTGATGTCCCCTTGAAGCAACTGCTAAGCAATGGAATATGTTCGCAAAAGTTGATAGTTAAAAATTATACAAATACAGATAATTATAAATAAGCTTAGCGACGATTGTTCTGACTTTTGTTGTTCCAGCGTGACTGTTGCATTCGTTGCACACGCATCGGCTGACTCTGATGTTCGCATGCATCAGCACGGCGCAATACTTCGGCGTATGAGAGATCGAGCCGTTTGAGCTTGTGGAACTCTTGGGACACCGTATTTGGATGAAATTCAACGCCGTTTACTTCGATCACACGGCCTGTACGTTTGGCGCGAGATGCGCTCATATTCCGATTATAGATTACCATCGGTGAACCATTCCATTCGGTGCTGGCACGATCTGTTTGCGCCCTACGGCAAACGCGCTCCGTCGCTAACATTTCGGGAGGGACTGGCACAAAGTCTTTACGTGTACGCCGAGCGCTGTGTGGTGGACATGGTTGTGCTAACGGTGAGGGTTGTGCAAGCGGCGACTCGATGCGGCCACCATTGTTATGTAGACTACGGTTTTTGCGACGGTTTCGCTTCTTAATGCCCACGCCAACTGCCAAATATTCCAGAGGTTCGCGCTTCAGTGGAGTCAGTACGCGACCATTCTCTTCGATGGTTTTGGTACCATCAGTTTTGCCTGTACCACTCAATTGTGCGATGGATGTGGAGCTTGTTTGGGAAAGCCTGTTTTCTTGATTTTTGCATTCGTTAATATGCTTCTTGGCCGTCTTGCGTTCCAGCTTAGTGACGCACTCGGACATGGCAAACGACTGATCTGAAAACACGGATGAGATAATACTCTGCGTATCATCGCCAAAGTCCACTGAAAACTCTTCGTTAGCTGCTGTATCGACCATTGGGCCTGTTGAACAATTCGGTTGTGCGCTATCCTCATCCGACAATTTCAGTTTTTCTCCATCCTCTTTGTTGTCGGCGGCTTTTTTCAACACACCAAAGATTTCTTTAAACAGCTCCCTGTACTCCGGACGGCTCTGGAAATGTGAGTCGATGGGACTCACGTCGTCATATATGCTTAGCTTGCATTCTTCGCCATTGCTGATCGAGCACAAAAAGTATCCTGGTCGCTCATCCGTCTGTGTATACTTGTTGCTAGTCTCATCCGAAAAGCCCGACGACGAGGTCTCTGCCTCTGAAAACTCCGTTGACGTTCGTCCCCGCACAGTCTTTGCATTTTTGTCAGCAGTAGTAGATGCTGCTTGGTTGGCCTCCACGTTAAGGATCTCTGGCTGTCCCCGATTGGATTCGCCGGCGTTGTGAATTTCCTTCGAAAGCTGGACGCTATTGTCGTTAGCTGCATTGCTTTTACGCACATTTGATGTGCGCTGCACCTCCAACAGAGCTTCATATTTCTCCACCAAGTCTCGGTATGGATTCGGACTGCCAGCATTCTTTAACTCGAGGATTTCGTTTGCATTGAGCTTTGCTGAAAATTCAGCACAATTACCTGCCAATTGGGAGCTAAACTCACTGCCCAACAGACTGCGATCATCGTCTTCCGGTCCATCTTCGGTTTGGGCTACTGACGATTGCCCGTCATTGTTTGATGCCTGCTCCTCCATGACGCGCAGGCAGCGACTGCACATTTGACCTTGCCTTACATCATCTAACAGAGAGAACTCATCCTGCATGGACATCATCTCCTCGTTTGTGCTGGTGATGGCTATTCGGCTCTGAAGTGTTTGGTTCTCTTGAATGATGGCTACCAGCTGCTCCTCTAATTCGCAACAACGTTGCTTTTCCGCCATGAAGTCACGTCTTATTGACTCCAAATCAGTTATCAGACCTAACAGCTCCTCATTATCCTCGGCCTTGCTGGCAGCAGCAGCGGCTGCTTCAATAATCTCCTCTGGACTGCCCACATCACTGAAAGCCATCGATCCATTGGCCTGGGAGATTTCCGTGACACCCGTTGAGTTGGCATTTGCAGCAAATGGGCCGTTGTCTATTGGCGTCGCATTCAAATCGGCAACTTCGCGATCATTGCCAGCCCATATTTTGGGTAAACAGGGCCGATCAGAGCTTCTCGCTGCAGTGCAGCGTTCCTGCTGCAATGGTCTTTCGTTTTTACGCCGTTCTGTGGTTAGCATTTGCCGGGTCTCCTCCAACTGCTGGTTGAGTTCATCGCAGCGTGCTTCTAGAGATTCAATGTTAGCTCCTAACGATTTGATTTGTTTCTTGTCCCGTGATTTCTCCAACGTCAGCCGATGATTGCTACGCTCCAAATCCTGTATGCCCACCTCCAGCTGTTCGTAGACCTTCAAACGCGTATCATTGACTTCGGCCATGGCATTGATTTGTTTTCGCAAGTGCACAATTTCCCGCTGTTGTTCCTCGCTTCTGGTTTTGTGCTCCTTCAACAATATTTCCAATTCCCTATTCCGCTCGAGCAGCGTTTTGCCCAGCTCAGCTGCCAGTTGCAAATCATTTAGCATGAATTGTGAAACATCTACATCCGGCTCGCAGTTGTCTGCCTCAAGCTTGCTTCCGTCCATTTTGGCGACTTTACCTTGTTTTCTGTTGTGGTTATAATTTGGGTATTAATTGGACTTGAAGACAAAAACACATGCTTATTGATTTTCGCCTTACATTTAGTTGTTGATATACTTTGTGAGCATATTATGCAAACAATTAACGCACTGGCTCGTTTTTTAAGCTATCCGATTCAATTTGTATTTGCTTTCTTTTTTATGCAAATACCTGGCCTATTACGTCACCGATTTTATAAATGCCAATTGCATAAGTTAACGACGACAAAAGTATTGGTCTTATGCTCTTTTTATGCTTCAACGCAAGTGCAAGTGCATTGCAACCCTAAAGTTGAAATAGCAAACCTACCCCTTGTAGCTGTAAAAGCCAGAGACGTAGACAGGGACGTTTTTTGAGTGCGAAATAAGACGTGTGTGGCATATTTTATTCAAAATATATGACTTAACTAAGGCTTCAATCATATGTATATAAGCATATCGATAAATTTTTTGTTTATATATTTTGTAATTTCAAACTTATTTTTGAAAACGCGCTTAAATTTTGAAACAAATTTCATGGCATTACATTTTTCAAATAAAAAAGCTATTCGATTGTAATTGTTTTGTTGAAACAGTTGGACATCATTAAAAGCCCGGATTACTGTCATTATATAATATATAAATACTATGTGCATTAAAAAAAAAAAAAACAGTATGTGTACATATTGTAAAAAAAAGTTATTTTATTTGCATATCAAACAAAATGTAGCCATACTTTTTGTAATTTCATACACATATCAAAAGACGACTTAGCTCAAGCTGGCATTCTGTGAGCCGCTCTTTCTTTCAAGCCCCCTTCAAAAAAGATTGCTACGCATCTGACAAAAGTTACAGCTGTTGTCATCTGGTTCAAAGTTGCGAAAAAAAAAACCAAGGAACCAAAGCTCAAATGAAAATATTTATTTTTTTATATTTATTTATTCATGTTTATAATTATAAAACTTACGTGAATTGATAATAATAACCAACATTTTTTTTATTTTTATAATTTACGTATATTTATTATATGTATGTATGTACATATTTAGCTGTTTTATCATTATTTAAGCTTATGTATATATGCAAAAAGTCTATCATGAGTAACTAGGAAAATTGCATTTTTTGTGTAGTTCTGACAAGACTTAACCATAAATTAAAAACTGTTTAAGTGCTGCGCTTTTAAAAACTAATCTTCGTGCTCAAGTTTGAGCTGGTGCGCCTGCTGCTGCTGCTTGTTTCTTTGCTCGTAGGGATCACCGTAGTCCACTTTGCCCATCTCGTAGTGGGCCATTTTATTGCGATGAATTGTGAGTAGGGCTCCGCTCTTGAAGTTATCACCGCAAACGCCGCAGCTGTATGGCCGGAGAATAGCTGTGTGCGTGTCGCTCTCTCGCTGGAGTCGCATGCGTTCAATGTCCTCGGCGCGACGCTTATTCACGCGACTATTTTCATAGGGATCAGGATCGAAGCTATCAGCTCCTTCCCTTGCAGTCTCATAGTGTCGCTTCTGATTGCGATGAATGTTTAAAAGAGAGCCGCAAACAAAGCTTTTGCCGCAAACGCCGCACGCATAAGGTCGTTCGCCCGTGTGCCGGCGCATATGAATCTTCAGATCGTTAGATTGCACAAAACTCTTGTCGCACTTATCGCAAGCGTAGGGTCGATGGCCAGTATGCAGACGCATGTGCCGCGCCAACTTGTTTTGCGAAATGAACTTCTTGGCGCATATTTTGCATTCGCTCGGGCGCTCTCCAGTGTGCTGACGCTTGTGCAGACTAAGATCTTGACTGCGTGGAAATGCCCTGTCGCACTGATCGCACTTGTATGGATTTTCGCCAGTGTGACGACGTATATGTATAGTCAGGCTGGAGACAGGAAAGCTTATGCCACAATGGGGGCATTCGCGCCGCTTGGCTGCGCGTTTTGGTGGTACGCTCATTATCGCATCTTCTGAATAACCGCTAGCGGCGACTACCTCAGGGTGAAATGCAATCATGTGTCTACGCAGTGTATCCTGACGCTTGAATATGCGCGGACAATGTTCGCAGATCAGTGCGCCACTGCTGCTGTGCTCCTTAGCCAGCTCCTGAGCCGCTACATCAGCCGCTTGGCTGTGAGCTGTTGCAAAGTGGCGTGACAGCGATTTGTTTTTGGCAAAAATGCGTGGACAGCTGGCACATTTGTACATAAAGTTTTGTGAATGTGCCAGGCGCATTCCTAGCTGCGAGGGACGATCATCTGATTGATCGGCATCGTAAATTATGTCCGCATCAGACTCAGTTACCAAATCGCTGGGGTCGTTGTCGCTATTGGGCAACTCTTCACATGGCGGTTCCACAAAAGACAGCTCCTCATATGTAGGTTCCTCATAGGCAGGTTCCTCAAACGTTGGTTCCTCATAAGTAGCTTCCTCATACGGCGCTTCCTCATAGGCCGGGGCTTCAGGCGGCAGCTCCACCTCTTGCAGCTCAATGACTGATTCACATTCTTCCAATTGTAGCAGGTCCACTTCCTGGTGCGGTAATTCTTCGTACTCATCCACATCCACATGATCCTCAGCCGATTGATCCTGCTCCTTACTACTGCATAACTCCTGCAGCGTTTGATTGGACCTTTCTACTTCTCGTATAAACTCGTAGGCGCTGATCAGGCGACGCGTGCAGCTCTGACACAGCTGTGTGGGTAAATTGGGTTCGTTCCAAGCGCACTGCAAATAATGTTTCGTTCACGTTACAAAGTTCATAGCTTGAAGTATGATTTATATTATTACCTTCAAATTGGATACGTTTTCTAGCAGCTGCCACAGCTCAACATTCAAATCATTAAACTCAATTTCATCGTGAAGGCTCAATGTTGTTTCGTGAGATTCCAAGCAAACGCGACAGGTTTGCTCGTTAACATTAATGAGGACTTTACCTGGTATTGGAATCTCATTTTTGTTACTTTCCATTTTATCATAGCTCGGAGCAGGCGTTCTTTATATTCGTATTATTATTGTTTTAACCAAATCTAACAGCATCCCGTACACTTGTGGGCACCCAAAAACTGTAACTCTTTACCGAACTGTTATTAACAGCGCTGATGGTAACAGCTACTTTTTGTTCCAAAGATAAAAGTAGTCGCAGGTTTTTGGCGAGGTTTTAAAAATGCAAATTATTAACAGTGCCAAATGAGTTAAACTGTTCTAGACTATCGGTAAGCCCGTGTTGAAGATAATAGTTGTCGAGTATCGATTACACATTTAAATTAGTAATCGAATTTACCTAAAAGAGTACGATAGATTTGAATTTCCGTTTCTTTTCACGTATTCTAATAATACACAACATAATATTTAAGCATTCCTCTAACTTCATCGTGGAGTCTACATTTTGATTTATTAGACACAACTTTTGTTTTAATAACGCGGTATTCATACATTCATAAATCAACCCACCAAGAGTGCCGGCTATCCATATTGGCTGTCTTCAGGGTGGGGAGCCGTATGGGGCAAGGTATTACAAGAGCCCCATGAAACTTATCTAGAGATTTCAATACATGGCAATACCTTTCAATACATGGCATTTATATTCATGAAACTGGCATGTATTTTGTCAAATTAATATCCGACACTGCAACTGGTAAATTTCATATATCTCTTTCCGACAAATAAACCAACAACCAATTGGTTAATTCCATTAACAATTTGCTTTTTATTTAAAATGAATCATTTGCATACATGTGTGGAAATCACTTGCCATATTAGTCAAACTTGTGGCAGCGCCAACGAGAAGTTTAATATAAATCTCTCACAGTGTAGGCGCGACCAATTGAAAATTGCTGTTCTTAGCAATTGGCATTAATTTAAAAAACTACATACAAAGCTTTAACTTGCAAATGCAACAGCTCTGATACTTTGTACAATTAACTATTAAGATGCAATGCTATATTACGATACAATTATCAGTAGGTAAAACTTAATTGTATGTCTAATCCCAGCAAGACTCAATGTTTTTGTACAATAGTAAATGCATGTGTACACACACACAGTGCAATGTATATACATACTAAAGGGTCCAATGACCAGAAAAAACGTTTCGCGTTTTACACTTATTCATAGTCCATTTTTAAAACTAAACAAATTTTGAATGCTAGTCAACAGATAGATCCAGCAGTTCCAACTCACAGTTTATTGGCAGTGAGTGTTAGCGGTGGTTTAGCGGCTCCCGAAGTTCCAGTTATGGATTTGTGATCGGCGCGCTCCTGCTCTGATAACCAGGCCATCTGCACGAAAGTAAAATAAATTATTTTCGGACTCATTTTTGGCTATCGTTGGCACTTACCTTTTGTTTGTGCTGCTGAACAGCATCAGTGCATCTATCCAGCACCATCTTTTCTGTAAGCAGACCGTCCTCGGAGGCGTACACAGCAGCTTGCCAGGCGACGCCCAGCTTGGATATCTCACGACCCGACATGCCCTCGCATAACGCCGCCATTTTAACGCACGTCTTTCCGTAGTCAAATGTGTCCAGTTTAAAACGTCTAAAAGCAATTTTTTAGCAACTGAGCTGCTTGGCAGAATTAAGCTTGCACTTACTTGGCGCCTGCTGCAGCTGGCTGTAGTACATATTTGTCGAAGTAGAGGCGGAGCAGACGCTCTCGTTCCTCAAGACCGGGCAACGTAAATTCAACCATCTCGTCGAGACGGTCATTGATTGCATAATCAAACTGTTCCGGCGTATTTGATGCCAGCACAAGCATAAACTTGGGATTCTGTTCGGAAGTTCTATACAAAAATGCATTCAGCGCTGCACGCAAATCCTCCGAAATCTTTTCCGACGAACGCTTGCGCAGAAAAGCATCCGCTTCGTCAACAAAGAGCAAAAGGCCACGCCTTGAGGTCTGCGACCAGTCGAATACCTTGTGTATGGCTGTGACACCCTCCTTACCCATGGGCGCTACATCACCTCCGGTCATAATAGCGAAATCCATGCCAGAATGCTCGGCTAGCTTTTTGGCAAACATTGTCTTGCCCGTACCAGGCGGCCCATGCATCAGAACGTTACGATAGAGGCCACGATTGATGCGCGTGTTTTTTGTGGCAATCGCAATGTCGCGCAATCGCTCTTCCAGTTTGGGATTCAATACAACGCCCTGTAGAGCATCAGCGGGCTTGGCGCGCAATCGCTTAATGTAGTTAAGTGGATGCTTCAGTGCGTCGAGGAACGCAAAACGCGAAGTTTCACCCACAAGCGTTGGTTTGCCAATGCGTGCCTCAACGTAGCGCGAAACAACGCCAGTTGCGCCCTTTGCACTGTACACACCCAATGCCAGCAGCGACAATCCACCGGCAGCAGTCAGTACCTTATCCCAGTCGGTCAACATGGCCTCGGCGCCGGCACCAATCACTGAGCCAGCAGTGCTAACAAGTAATAAATGCGATTAATGACACTTCAACATGCCTTTCATATGCAAGGAGAGCTTACCGTATACCCTCCAGTACTGTTGTACGATGCTCTTGTGCTTTCAGACGAATCTTCTCCAGATTGATATCGCGATTCTCGCGATCCACACGCGCCTTGGCACGCAGCTCATGCTCCAGCAGCTTAAGACGATTCTTCTCCTTCATTTCAATCTCATGCTCAATAGTCTGACGCCGCATTGCCTCCTGGCGCTGCACGCTCTCCTCCTGTTTGCGCAGATTCTCCTCCTGGACACGCTGTTGCTGCACCAGTTGATCTTCGTATCGCTTGCGCGACAATTGATCTTGGTATTGTGCACGCTGCTGCTGCTGTTTGGTCTCCTCAATAAGCGTCTTGCGTCGCTCCTCGTGATCGATACGCTTCTGTTCCACCTTGGCCTGCTCTATGTGCGCCTCATATTCTTTCACTTTGGTGTTATATTCTTGCTGTCGTGTGCTCTCCTGCATCTTGGACAACTCCAATGCTTCCCGCGCATGTTCTGTATCAAGTAACACATATACAAATATATATATATATATACACGCACACACGCTGCATCAAACAGCATTGTGACATCGGTTATGCAATGCGCGCAAACGTTGATGAAATTTATGCATTCTGATTGAACACTTACTTGAACGTTCCAATGTTTTGGCGGCGTCCGCGGCTCGCTCCAGCGCTGACGAATCAAACCGATACGCCTCCATGGCCTTGCGCTCGGCCCTTGTAAGCTGCGTGTCGCCACCACGCTCACCGGCAGTTTTGCCCTCTGGATTATCAGCTCCATCTGCTCCACCGGCAAGCTCCGTTGGCTGCTGACGATTTCTACCCAATAACCACGACATGTTGCTATGTTATTCGTGTTGACAATGTTGACACCCACTCAAAACGTAATTTTGTCACAATAAAAGCACGAAATATCCTAAAAATAAATTGTAGGAGCGTTTTTCTTTTCAAACCCACATTCGACAACGTGATTCTAGTAGTGATGTAAGAAACGCATAGATATATATTACTTATGATATATTTTGCGATGAATCGATAGAATTTGATCAATTGTTAAGTAGGGTGGACAGATTGACTTCATATTATAACAATTATTAACAATGAAATAAATTCCACAGTGCAGGGAGCTTGATTGGACCGATAAGTTTATATTTTGTGTATGATTTTTAATGTTATATTGTCATGGTGAGTTTAGACAAAGTTGTAGATTATTTTTTTATGTCGTGATGCGATATAAAAATAAACGATATACAATTCCCACAGTAACTGTTAACTGTTAATGCGATAATGTAGTCGCTTTCTGCGGTCACGGTGAATGTGCCGACAGATGCAAATGTAGCCCATCTCTAATGCAACACCTGTTGTCAACAAACAGTTCTCGAGTTTTTCCTTTAATTTGAACATTGCAGAATTCTAAAATCTGGCGTAAAATGTTTGAACGTAACCAAAAAACGATATTTGTGTTGGATCACACTCGCTATTTCAGCATTTCCAGCGAGCAATATATATCAATGGACTACCTGAAGGGGAAACCGGTGCAGGAGACACCGGCTTCCGGTAACAGTTCCATGGTCGTCGGCACACAGCTGAGCAAAAGTTTGTGGACCTGTGCCGTTGAGTCTTCCATTGAATATTGTCGCATTGTTTGGGATCTGTTTCCGGGGAAAAAGCATGTGCGATTTATTGTCTCCGATACGGCGGCACACATAGTCAACACCTGGAGCCCCAGCACTCAAAATATGTCGCATGTCTCCAATGCCATGATGATGGTAAGCGTACCATCGCGCAGTATTCCACAATCATCAGACTACTCGGTCATACATGGACTGCGAGCTGCTATCGAGGCCCTGGCAGAGCCAACGGATGAGCAGCTGTTGGCAACCCAAGTCGGTTGCAAACAAATCCCCAACAAGGGACGTGTCATCTGCATCACATCGGCGCGGGATAATACGAGCATGAAAAGTAAGACTGGAGCAAATGAACTTCTAAAGCATGTATTTAACTTTTTAACGTTCCTTAGGCTTAGAAGACATCTTTAATACGGTATTGGTACAGCAAAATGCATTGGTTGCACCGCCCAGCAAAAAGGGTCTGCAGATAGATCATTGCCATCTGGTCATATTGAATATTGTGCCATTAGGAGTCGAATCCTTGGTGACCAATCGGAATCTACTCGAAATCTCGCCACTCCTGGACGTCGAAATACACACAGTAAACGCACCAGACATCTCGGATAAACTCTTGCATCTTATTATGGGCCATTACGATCTGGCCAGCACCACGGTGACCAACATACCCATGAAAGAGGAACAGAATGCCAATTCAAGCGCTAATTATGATGTAGAAATATTGCATGAACGCGCTGCGCATACAAGAGTCTGCGGACCGGATTTTACTTTAACCACAAGTATAAAGCCAGGGACTACTTACGAAACAGTTACACTTAAATGGTGCACGCCGCGTGGCTGTGGCTCTTCTGATCTGCAGCCGTGTGTCGGACAGTATAATGTTACACCCGTGGACGTGACCTCACGTCCCAGTTCTTGCCTGATCAACTTTCTATTGAACGGACGCTCTGTGCTGTTGGAGGTGCCCCGCAAAACGGGCACCAAGACAACCAGCCACATGCTGTCGGCTCGTGGCGGCGAAATCTTTGTGCACTCCCTATCCATAGCCCGCTCTGCAATGGACGAAGCGCCGTCAATTAGTGATGGACCTGGTGGACGTGTTTCCGACTATCGCATACCCGAATTAGGCCAGCTGTTTAAGATGTCGCGAATGGTGCCTCTGAAGACGAAGCCCAAGGGTAAATGTTCACAGGGTGAACATCTTTGGAGGCGACTACCGCGTTACTTTCCTAGAACCACGAATGTGACAATTCTGTTCAATTTGCAACGCCAATTGAACTGGCTGCCACACTTTTTGCATTTGATAGTCAAGGAGGATATGGACAAGCAGGACGAAGTGCGCTGCCAGCAGCAAATCCACGAGCTGTACAAGAGCGCCTCTCGAGGCGACATGCTACCCTTTAATACTACAAATAACGCGCGGTAAGTAGATAGCATTCAACTTATTGTCGCCACACTAGACTTTGGCAATTGTAGTTAAAAATGTTTGGATAGAAAATGAAGACTATAAGGAAAGACAGATGTTTATGATTCAATCTGTGTGCAATGCTTGCTTAATTTGAAAGTTGTCTTTATAAATCCGCCAAAACTGTTGTATGAAAACACATAGGTGGTTGGAAAAACTGACTTGGAAGCAGATTACTCTCTCACTATTATAAAATATATTATAGTTGTTTCTCAAACTTAATTTAACTGCAGCCCAAAGGTAGGCAAAACAAAGGATCAGTACAGACTATTCTACAGGGAACTGGAGCAACTAATTCAACTAAACGCCCAAACACCACATCACAAGAATCTACTAGAGAGTCTGCAAAGCCTGCGAGCGGCCTATGGTGATGTTAGCAGCAAATTGGAGCCGGGTGCTTCCCACTTGCGTTCCTATACAGAATCGCCCCTGTCACCCGAACGCCTTGAGCCCACAAGCAGCGCCAGCAACAGTTCCAGCAGCATTTTAAAGGCTAGCAAGCGACGCATGTCTAGCTCTGGGCAGCGGTAGGTGGTCAAATATTAACTCTTTTATTACGTTTACAAATGAAAACTCCCATTAACTCGTTTGCAGCTCGTTGCTGGACATGATTAGCATGGCAGAACGCAGCCAATCAAACAAGCGCTTGGATTTCTCTGGACGCCTTTGCACGCCACTGGGTCAAACAGCGAAATTGTATCCCGATTTTGGAAACAAAGAGAAGGATATTCTTACCCCTGGCGTAGTCACTTCAAATTTAAAAGATGAGTCCATTCGCAGTTAGCTATACGTTAGTTGAGTAAATTAGTCTACTTAAAGCATGAACATTCAATGTCTATATGTAGTTCACACTAAAATCTAAAGATTCTTTTATTATTAAAATTGACTTCTGGTTTGTAAACTTTTGGTAAATAAGAAATAGTTGAAGAATAAGTCATATACTTTTTACCAAATAATAAACTTTTTGTTAGAATATAAGATTCTTAATTTATTTCTATTCCCGTTGAAAAATGTAAGTTCTCCATTCAAAGCACTCTTTTTATTTTATGTACACATATGTAGATAGTTAGAAATTAACGCAACATAATTTTAAAAACAGAATATAATACAAAATTCCTGTCTCTTTGTATTTAAAAAAAAATTTTTTAACCAAAGAATGGAGAATACTACAGTCACGAGACTGCTGCAAGTGTCCGAGGAGGCAGCGCCCGTGGTGCAAAGTGAGCTTTTCATTTTTTATGTAATCTTTCGGAAAGCTGCATTTCTGGATTCTTCCATTTTTAGTTCCCATTGTTGTGGGCAATGAGATGTTCATTCTTATCCAACAAGATGTAAGGCGTATCGAGGATATACGTCATTTGAGTTACAATCGATTGGGTTCCCATGCTCAGATCCCTCCCATTCTCAATCAATTGAATGCTCAAGCCTTTGGCAGTCACTTTAACAGTGGTTCCGCGCCAGCAACGCAATTTTCTGCACTACAAGGTCTAGTCCCGCACAGCCAGCAACAGCCTACCCAGATTACTTTCCCTGGCGTTGACATAGATATGGAGAAGACGCTACCGCGAGTTGTCGCGAATGTATCTAAGCAACTGTCTTGGTCCAAGCAGTCCAAATCCTCTTCACCATACCCTATATGTTACAGCATCGCAACATCAACCAGTGCACTTCCGAAGCAAAACTCTGGTGATAACCCGCATCGATCTCCAGATAGAAAGAATTGTAGTTGTCAGACATGCACAAATACTACATCACAGGCCTGCAACACGGAGCCAAGATCACATTCAGCAACAATGGCGAGTAACACGGAGACAAGACCATATACCACTTCGCGGGCATCCCAAACGGGTCCAACAAAGAAACGCAGGGAAATTTTTAAAAAACATCGATCAAATGATAGCTCTTGCTCCGATGCTTGCAGCCATACGCAGGAGGAGCTATGCGCCTGTGGGCATTCTCTACCAAAACCACTATCACGCCGCGTCAGGCTTGCATCGCCTGAACGTTTACGCCACCATCGTAGCAAATCCACATGTTTGATGCCGCAGGTTACTGTGCCTAATGAGCTTTACGAAGAGTTGCAAGCGAAAAAAAGGCAATTGGAGAAAGAGCAGCAGCAAAAACATTTTGATCCGAAGCTGTAATCCTCGGAAGCCAGCGTCGACCATTCAAGACAGCAATGACAAATCAAAACTTTTATTTACATTTTAATCTCTACTATGTATTTTATGTCCCCCCCAAGTCTTCCGAGTCTAGTAATTACATACTAACATAAAGCGTTCATCGATTTACTTTTCATCAGACGTTTCTTTGCATTAGTCGGAATCGTCGAGGCCTTTTTCTTTTTCTTTTGCGGCTTTTCAGGTTCTGATTCGCCTTGGCCATTGAAATAACGTTTGGGTTTATTGTGCTCGCGCTGCTCACGCTTCAGTTGCTCGGGCGTGCAAACGCGCAAATAAAAGTCTTTGAGCAGGAGCTTAAAATCCTCGATTAATGTATCCCTCTCAACTTGGACTTTACCACCAAAACAGGGCGTGCACGCCTGCAGCTCATTGACCTTGAAAGGTTTGGGTGCGAATTCAGAGGCGGGCCTCCACACAATGGCCAACTCCTTGCCACCATGGGGATTGTAAAAGAAAGCAGCATATTCGGAGTAGGCATCCTGTAGAATCAGGAATCAGTTGATTAAACCAGCTAATGAGCATGAGCTAAAAAATGTTTCTCACCCTCAGTTGCTGCACGATCTTGGCGAGCTGATCACTGCCCGCTAGCGACAATCGAAAATTGCGTTGACTGAAAGGCAAAAATGGCGAACCCAGATCGTAGCAGAGCGTATTGGACAGCAGATCCGGTTTGAGCTGTATGACCAAATCATAACCATCGGCGGATGCCATAAACAGTTGTGCGGGTCGTACAAATGCTAGCTTAGGAGATAACAGGCTCGACTCTATAAGTTGCAGCGCATGTCTGGCCAACAGAGTGACACGGCCCAGAACTGGCTTGCTGGGGCTGTTATTGCTAGTCCACAAACGACCGGCATGCTGCTGATCGTAGGCGGTAGCCAAACACAATGATGGATAGCTGTCCCGTTCGCTGCGATAACTGTGCTCCAAATCTGTAATTTGTTGCTCTGAAAAAATGCGAATAAGATGAGATATGGATTATAGCGGAGGGTTTTGGGACTGACCTGTCCAGCTGTTGTTGAAATTAAGCAGAAACAGTTCGCTGCTCCAGTCGCTGTGGGCGAGCAGTTGAAGGAAGCGTATGAAACCAGTTTGTGGGGAGACAGTAGTGTGTGGCGTCTGTCGTTGCTGGAAGAGATGCGCCACAAGCAGCTCCGTCGCTATGGACGGCCACAGACCGTCGTCCAGCAGCTGTGAAGCCAGCCAGCGCTTTGCAATGAGCACTGTGGGCCCAAACGCGCCATGCAATTGATGCAACGCATGAAGAGCACCACTGACTCTGGGCAGTATGTAGTGACGTCGCTCCAGTTCGCGACTAGCTGGATTGTCCACATAGGTGGTCACACCACGTTCAGTTTGCTGTTGCTTCAGCAGCGCCAGCTCCTTAGTATGTGCAAGCTCCAAGAGAAAGCAGTAGCCTTGTTTAAGTACCAGCAAACCATCTTTGCAGAGATGCCAGTGAAGATGATGCTGCTCCTTGAGCTGTTGCCCAATTTGTATAAGGAAGGCGGTTTTTAGGCTCCGCAGTGCGCCCAGATCACTGGGCCACTTCCCACTCGGTCCCAGCTGAATGATTACACGCAGCACTTGACTGGCATGGATGCGATCTGCCACCAGACGTGCCTGTGGCAGCAATGGCTGTGGTTCAGAATAGCGAAAAACGGGTGAAATCCCAGATATTGACACAATGTCGAGCGGCAGCTCCTCAAGACTGTGTAGTTGGCGTGCCAGCGCATCGTAGCAGTGTATGACGTTGGGTGTGAGTGCCTCGGCGTCAGTTTCCTGCTGAATTTTCAGTTTGGTTTGCAGCTTGGCCACCTTAAAGGAAGGCGTTAGAGAGTATACAACATCAAGGTTGCCGGCAATGTACTGCACTTCACTGGGCTCCAGCTGAAGCTGATGCTCTAGCAAATACAAGACTATCTGGCGCACTATCAAGCGCTTTTGGCTGGGCGCGTCTGTTGCAGTGGCCCAGACGACAGCCTCCGTAATGCTGCCATCCTGAAAACGACGCAAATTGGATTTATTGCCCCAAAATTTGCGAAATTCCGCGGCACCGCTCGCATCTTCATTAGTTGCTGGTCCCTTATCCAACACTTCGTGTGCATGCTCCGGATCGAGTATGAGGCCTAGCGTCAGGGAACGTCCAATGACTGGCGCCTTGGTGTCCACGGTCCAGGGACTACACGGTACTTCAAGTGGGAGAATGGCGTGCACGCGTTGTCCCAAACCCTTCTGTAGTAAGCTACACAGGAATAAGTCAAAGCATTATTTCTCATTTTGAACAGGTGCTAGAAACAACTTACTCTGTTAGCAATTTAAGCAGCTGCGGGTGGGCATAGTTGGCATAGTCGTATTTGACATGCGGCTGGACATGTAGCTGAAGTAGCTGATCTACGCTGGCCGGATTTGTGATTCTGTGCGAAAAGTAGAAATGGATATTTACCATTTTCTGACTATATTATTTCTTAGATTAAAGAGTGCATTTTTTGAAATTACAAACGTGAAAACGGAATACGTAGGTATATCATCAGGCTTTTCGTACAATACCGATTTACAAACGATGTGAGCTATATGATATTGAAGTCTATTAGTTTTCGGAGATATTTTTTAGGAGCGTATAAAAATATGAAATTAGCAAACATGATTTGCATTTAATAAACCCATAATTTGGGAAATATTGTAATTGGATATTTTGTACGAATTCATAGGCATATATATATAGAAATATATAGAAACATAGCTCAGATCAGGGAAGACCATTGATGCAATGAAAGATTTTGATTTTATAAGTTTTCAGCAATTGCGCAACTGCGCCACTCACTTGAGTATGTTGTCCATGCGGGTGTAGAGCGGTGATCTTTGCATGAAAATGTGCGAAAAACAATTGACTTTTACGTCATTTAGCAATTCGACGGCCAACTTTGCCTCCGCACAAACGGCTTTATAGACCGCAAGGGGCAGATTAGCGCACAGATTGTAATAGCCGGTGACATCCATGAAGCATACATCATAGTAGCCGGCCAGGGTGCTTAGCTGGTACGGTTGATGTTGAGATAGAGTTATGCCTTGTGTCCAATCACTGTTAGCTAGCTGATTCCATACGGTGCGGGCAATCTGGTAGCTGCTGCTTGACTGGTGAAGCAAACGCTGCTGTTTTAGGTAAGCAATGTACGCGGCAAGAATGTGTGCACTAAAGCCGCTGAAGCCAACATCAAGCTGGCGTTGGCGCAGCCATACTTTAAGCAGCAGCAAGCCCTCCTGAAAGTTACGGCGTCCAGTGAACGTGCTAAGTAAGAGCTTTTGATTCTCAGCTAGCGTCAGATCGAACAGCACATTGGCATTGTAGTGCTGAGTAGCGGGTAACGCTTCCGCTTCATTCCACTTATCTCCGAAGACAGAGGGCCGAATGTTGTTAATCCATGGTAAAAAGCGGCTCAACTTAAAAATCTCCGTCTGCGCTGTAATATACACGCGCAACAACAAATATTTACCCAACTTGGCGGCGGGTGTCAGTTCCAGCACTGGTTTTAGCGGATTATTTGCATGGTAGTTGTAGGCGAACTGATCTGCTTTAAAGGCTGGTTTTTGCTTTATTTTGCTGGCCACCGTGGCCAGATAGAGGGCACGCTTTTGATCGTAAATTAAATTGCGATAATCGTCCTGCCGGAAGCATGCAGCGGGCATTTCCAGCGCCACATCTACCACAATCTTGGGGCCCAGCAATGTGCCCGTGGCCGCAGCGCCAATTAGCTTTGGCTCCGACGTTGGCGTCAAGAATTGAAAATTAAAAGATTTTTTGTGCAGATGCAGTGGCACCTCCAATTCGCAGGTGTCCAGCAATCCGTCCTTTAATTCCTGCACTGCAATCGTAAACGTCTCTAACCATGTTTCAATGTAACTGCTGTATTTGGGCTTGAGATGGAGCTCCTCCAGCATCTCCTTCACCTGCAGCTTGAACAGATTTGAATGAAAGAGATTGCGTGTGTCGCGAATCTCCTTGATTTCTTCCAATGTCGGTGGCTTAACGTTCGACTCTGCGTGCTTGAATTTTTTCTTTTTTGCTTCGCCATTGCTCAGCAGCACTTTACGTTTATGTACTGGGACTCGGTTTGGTTCATCAAAACCATCATCGCTACTGGTGGCAGCAGTAGCTGCATAATCGTAGTCGGTGTGTGATTCCGACAGGGAAGGCTGTAAGTGGGATCGATTTCAAAGTTGCTATTAATCTATATAAATATTTTAAACTTACCGCCTTGGATTGTTTTTCTTTAATTCGTCCCATATTATTCAACAAGAGTAAACCAAAAATAAAAACCGATAGCGTGCCAAACAATTGCACGTGCTACTTGGTTTTGGTTTTAATAGTACGGCCAAAATTGGCGCTTTTTTATTGCAATAATTTATCGAATAATAAGTGCATTTTGGTATTTTGCTATCGAACGATATGCTTTTGACTGTTCTTAAAAGTAGATTCGTATCGCAGCTTTAAGGGATCGGGGAAAATTGTGACTGATATCGCTGTAGTATATATTTAATAAAAAAAAAACAAAAGTTTTGCGTCATTAGAGCACTTATTATTAACTATGTATGTTATAATCCGACATCGTTATGTGAGGTCAGAAATCGAATATATTTAGAAGCGATAGAAAACTGCGGAAACTGTCTCATCGATAGCTCCCGAGCAACACGAATAATAAATTAGTAAATTCGGTCACACTGGTGAGGAGTACTACATTGCAGACTTTTTGTACTTGTATATAGAATTTGTTTCTTACAATAAATAATTGCTTGCTATTTTATATAATTGTGTAGATCAGATAAAATTAGAATATAAGTGGTAAATATCTTTTGTGACATTTGAAGCTGGTTGCGTGAGTGTATGTTGCTAGCATATGCAATGTACAGATGTTGCCCTAAACAAAACTCCATAAATAACATCGTGATAGTATGTGAGAATAAAATAAAATAGAAACGAATCAATAGTGCTATCAAGCGTTAGCAGATTGTTTAAAGCGTTTTGCCCATTGTAAAACAAAGTACCGGCTAATTATTTTTGTAT